CCGAATTTTAAATCTGTTTAAATCGACTTCAGTCGTAAATTAATAACAAGATGCATAAAATGGTCTGTAACTAGGCCTAGGACTGGACCTAAGGTTCCTCCTATATGTGGATTCTCTTGGGAATTCAAACTCAGGCAAAGGTAGAAAATCCTGATCATATTCCCCGGATTTTATTCCTTGGCCCGAGTTTGGATGACCCTATTTGGTATATTGGGTCTGTCCTAGTATGCGATTTTTNAATAATAAAAGGGTTTAGGGATAGAAGAGTAAAGATAGAATGATTGAAGAATAGAAGGATAGAGGGATAAAAGTATAAAAGGATAGAAGGCTAGAAGGATAGTAGAATGGAGGGATAAAAAGATAGACGGATAGAAGAATAGAGGGATAAAAGGATAGATAGATAGAAAGATAGAAGGATAGAAGGATAGAAAGATAGAAGGATAGAAGGATAGAAGGATAGAAAGATATAAGGATAGAAAGATAGAAAGATAGAGGAATAGAAGCATAGAAGAATATAAGGATAGAAGAATAGAGGGATAGAAGAATATATGGATAGATGGATAGAAGAATGGAGGGATAGAAGAATATAAGTATAAAAGGATAGAAGGATAGAAGAATAGAAGGATAGAGGGATAGACGCGATAGAGGGATAGAAGATAGAAGGATAGAAGGATAGTAGAATGGAGGGATAAAAAGATAGAAGGGTAGAAGGATAGAAGAATAGAGGGATAAAAGGATAGATAGATAGAAGGATAGAAAGTTAGAATGATAGAACTATAGAAAGATAGAAGAATAGAAGCACAGAAGAATATAACGATAGAAGGATAGAAGAATAGAAGGGTTAGAAGGAGAGAAGGATAGAAGTAGAACTACAGAAGGATACAAGAATAGAAGTAAAAAAGGATAGGAGGATAGAAGAATAAAAGGATTTATAAAGAATCTCATGTCAAAAATTACTTTTTTTGTGGACACTCGTGGTATAAATCATGCCCAAAATAGATTTATATATTTCATTAATTCACAACAGTGCCTTATTCATGATAAGTATCAATTGAAACTGAATAGAATTAGATTAAAATTGACTAAAGGGCTTTTTTTTTGATATGCTGACTGTGGAACACTGTTTCTTATAAAACAAATTTGAAAAAACGTTTTTTTTCTAGCTTAAAATGTGCTTAATTTTGAACATTTCCTCAATCGCTTTTGTCAGCTCAAATCCGCAAGTCCCTCAGTGGAGAAATCATATTTGAATAAAAACAATTTTTTAAGAGAAACCACATCTATTCTTTTTTAAACAAAGGTTTAAAGTGCACCACTGTGAATTTAACATGTCACTATGTAAATGGAGGGAATACATACATACCAGAATAAGTCCTACAGTTTCTTCAAGATTGAATATTTATTCTTCTATTTCAAATTAATTCTAATATCTCCAAACTGTTGTTTAAATATAAAAGCTCAAATTTCTCAATTTCCAGGAATGAGAAAAACAATTAAGCCAGATGTTTTAAAAATTATGAAGATTAGAAGTTTCTGTCTTAGATCTGTAGATAATGTAGTCTTAGATCTGTTGATATTGTAGTCTTAGATCTGTAGATATTGTAGTGATAGATCTGTAGATATTGTAGTCTTAGATCTGTAGATATTGTCTTAGATCTGTAGATAATTTAGTCTTTCTATAGCCACGTAGGCCGTGTAGATTATTAACTACATAAAGAAAAGAACATGCAGGAAGGAACCATCAATGTTCATTGCCTGCATGTATCCCAAATATATTGTTTTACATAATTACGTCTGCTATTTAGCATCAAGACGAAATAGTTCAACTAATGTAAGACTGGCGACGAACTTTCAATGTTCACCGTCAGTACAATCGTAGTCTGTTTCCCATTTGTACTTTGTTACATTTCCATTACTTCGTTAGATAAAAACTTTTTAATGCATGCCCAATAGATCTTTCTCATTAAATGCTCCAATATTATGCAGATGAATTTTAAAAAAAAAATAAATCCTAGTCAAAGACTAAATACAAGCAATTTATTCCCTGCATTCCTCATTTTGTGTGTCTTGCAGGACAAATCCGAAATTCCAATTTAATGGAAAAAAATGAAAATGATAAAATGTATCAATATAATTTATCTAATTTAAATATATGTACACATTATTATCGTATTAAAATTGTTTAATACATGTTGGTATTTTTGTACAATTAATCTTGTAAACCATAATAACCATGATACGTAAATAAATATCTAGATTTACAATTTCAAATATTTTTAATATAAAAATCTCAAAATATAATCAAATTGCGCGTTTCTATAAAATAAAAAAGTTAGCATGACTTACTTACATTGTGAAATACAAATTAGATTATTATTGTGAATGGTGGCACTGAACCAGCAAGTTGCACAGATACATAAAATATTCTGGTATTATGTCTTTACTTTACAATTAACTTTACAAAATCTAAATCGTTAAAACTTTTCTCTTCCGAACTTCCTTTTTACCCCCCCCCTCTAGAAAAATATCATGATGTATATCAAATTATTGGTTTTAGTTGGGTTTGATTTGCATTTTCCACACATTTCTGGCATTTACAAACTCCACCAAATAAAGGCTTCATTTCCTACCTCTCAGCTTTCACCTTGTTTTATATCCTTCATTATAGTCATTCATTTTACATTAACTACAAAGATCTGTAAAAAAACTGAATTTATTTTAAGTAACATAAAAAAAGTTTCTTTGTGTTTTCTTTTTAGATACAAATCTTGGGATTCTGTGTTTTCTACAAAAGGAAAGTTGTAACCCATTGGTAAAGTGTACTTGTGAATATCTGTCTCCATTGCTTTCAAATCATAGGGATTCTCCTCTTCCAGGAAAGATGTTGAATCTTCATTAGAATCTTTTCCAGGTGTAGTATCCTTGATAGTATCTTCTACAACTATAGTAGTCCAACAAAAAAGTAAAATATAGCAAATATGAAAAAATTTCTTTTAATGGGTGAATATGTGTTTTAAAGTTAAGACACTCTGCCTTTAAAGGAATTGAGTCCTTGACACAAACTCTGCTTTTCTAATCCCTATATTGTTTCAACCCAATGTCGTAGACCTAAGATATTTCATACTATGAGTTATGTTAGATCAAATAATCTAATTTTCAAATATCAATGATTTGCACAATCAGGTTAATGAGATAAAGGAATTAGAAAATTTTGTTTTGTGGAAAGCACTCATTCCTTTGCCATAAATTCATTTGGTTTGGCGTTTAAAAATCTCTTTAAAACTATAGGATTTAATAAGATTTTTACTTTTTTCTTGTTCTGTTCTGTCTATGCAACCTAATTGTGTAAAACTTTAATATTTGAAACTTAGATTAATTGATCCAACAGTAGTTTAAATATCTAGGCCCTCCGACATTAGGTTGCAAAGAAATAGGGATTAGATAATCAGAGTTTGTGGTAAAGACTCAATTCCTAGTTTTACTTTATCATTTTGCTTCTACAGGGTGACCCACAAAAGATGAGACTATGAAGACGATCTTTATATGATGATTCAATGGTTCAATAAGTCTTCTGCCTTGCATAGTCTTTATATGGCTTAAATAATCAATTGACATGGAATCCATTAAAAGAAATAAGGTTAGGTTAGGTTAAGACAATTTCTGGGCCGAGTGCTGCGGCTGACAGGCTAGGGGCCGAGCGCTGCGGCCACGTTTTCAAATTAACAAAGTGATAGCCTATCTGTGGGATTGGGTTAAAACAATTTTTGAGTTGTCCATCCGACCTAAAAAAACTGTGCATCCGACCTACTATAGGTTGTTCATGTCTGACCTATAAATGCAGTGCATCCGACGAATCCGACCTACAAAAGGTCTGCATTCAACCTAAAGTTAAGTGTGCAACCGACCTTGCAATAGGTCGGATACATTAACTTTTTTCTATCGAATGTGTATCCGACATACAGTTCATCGGACCAATAGCAGCTAGAAGCTGCTGATAAACCACTTACTCATGTGATTTATATTAAACAGAGACTGGATTAATTTTGAAAATTGCATTCAGACATTAAGTGCCATATTTCACATTAGAGTGTACGGAAAATTAAGATATTAATATAGCATATTAAAATAATATGACACTTCTATATATAAATTTGGCTTGTCTGTCTGTNAGGTTTATGAATCATCAAAATTTCAAATATTTGTCTCCATCAAAATTCGATCGTCATTAAATTTTTAAAAATTTTGAAAATCCGCGAAATTTTTTGTGAAAATCCGCGAATTATTTTTTGTTTTGTTTTACGATGTACACAAAGAGAACATGATCACAACTAATTTAGAAGATGGGCGCGAAGCGCCATCTAAGGCTAGAAAGAAGGGCGCGAAGCGCCTTGAATTTCTAGTAAGTAATATTTGACGAAATTTTTTGCAAAACTTTTTTCCTAAAAGACAAAAAAAAAAGAAATTTTGGTAAGAAACAAATGGTTTTTTGTGAATTGAATTGGAGAATTTGTTGTTTACCAAAACTAAAAAATTCAATTCAATCTTCTTCAAATTAAATGTAAATTTTGGTAAGATTTCTTATTGAAAAGAAGTATTTTGGTTTATGTGGAAACCATGATATCCATATTTTCCGTTAATTTTCTTAACGTCTGAGCTTTCATTTCTTTAACGACAGCTCAATTATGTTCCGATGTCAATTGTTTGTCCAATAAGAAAATGTCAGTAGAAAGTAGTCTTTAATTGTGTCTAAATTAATGCCGACCACTATATTTCCTAGTGTGAAGATTGCCGTTTATGTGAAGGTTGTGTGGTTGAAAATTTTGTCGAATTTTTCAGAGAAATTATCATAAACTTGGAATACTGAACCCTCTCAGGTCGGTGAAAAACACAAAATATTCGCAACACCAGCAAGATGAGCGTAGTCATTTTTAAATTATGCACGTATACTACTCAATAGATCTATTTTTTTTTTGGCTTCAGTTCAAATCGAAGATCATTAATTAATATTTAATAACAAAGTATATTTCCTCAGTAGAAACTAATATAACAATTACATAGCGTGAATATTATTATTATAAATACACTGAACTGAACGGGGGGAATTTGTACACAAAAACACGCTATTGCGCATTTTCTGACACAGAACGCAAACGTCAAATACGCTCTGACGCTTCACCAAGCGTATCTCTTGTATTTTCACATCGGTTTAGAGTCTAAATGAGCTGATCACGATGAGAATGGTTCTCTGTAAGATCGTAAATGATCACGATGAGAATGGTTCTCTGTAAGATCTAGGTTTAGAAGAGCAAGGCTCCCATGCTGCCCATCTCGCTTTGTTCCTTGACGAATATCTCGAAGTACTGGTAGATAATGGTCACAGCCAATAATATTCCAGTTCCAGATCTAAACAAAGAAAAATATAAATATATTAATATTTGAACTTTCATAGTTCTAGGACCGGAAATTTCCAAATTCTTGTTCCATAGATAGCTTATGAATGTCGAAATATTAGAAATTTGGTTGTCGATACGGATCAAGTAATTTATTCAGTCAGGATTGAGTTAATCCATTTTTGACCTACGGAATAAAATCTTACCCAATAGCTCCCATGAAGTCAGCTAGTACAGACAGTGCTCCAATACAGAGTCCTCCGAAGGCTGCTGCTGTGGGGATATATCTGTTGAGTTCATGGATCATACTGGTTTCTCTGTGTCCTCTCATCACCATCTGCTGCTCACGGAGCTGCTTTGCAACATCCTTGGCAGAGCTGCCGGAGACATCAATCCAGGTCTTGGAGAAAAATGCGCAAGATCTGAAATAATGAAAAAATAAAACATATTCTAAAAATATTTTGAGACATGCGTTACGGTATTTTATCTAAGTATCAAATTAAGAAAAACCAGCCCTGGACAACAACAAAAAATCAATTTTCTCCAGGATTCTGACATTAATAGGTTAACCCAAGCAGCATATAGGGTTGTTCTTATCTAACTCTTTAAAATAAAAAATAAGTATAAAGTTGTTTCCCACCAAAAATACCAGAAAATAAATACATGAAACCTTCCTCACAATAAAATGTTGATTCTTCCCCACATATGCTAAAGCTTCATAAATATTTGCCCCAAAAAACTTTAAAAATATGTAACAAAATAAGATAAATGAAAGCTTACCCCAGCATGAAAAAGATGTAGAGGAAAGCATGGATGGGATCTACTAGAACGCTACCCAGAGATTCAGGAGGAGACAAGTAGTAACACAGACCTAGATATAACATTTATGAATTAAATGGACGGTTCAAGTAAACTCAAGTGACGCCATGAATAGAACTGAGGCTGAATAAAAAAAATTTGAGCCGCGGCACAAATAAAGTTGGTTCCAAATAAAGTTGTATATTTAATGTTTCAAGATCTAAGCCGGCGCTCAATTGAAACCGGTTTTTGGCTGATTTGAAACGCGGCTCAAATTCATTAAATTCGGACTCAGTTCCCTTAAACCTTTGTCTGATAAAGATACACGAGATATTCACAATTATAATTTCAAATACTTATTTGTGGCTTCTCTGTTAATATAAGTATCTGAAAAACTGATTTGCGCATTTCTTTTATTACTGATCAGGCATGCAGAAGGCCACTTGAAAGTACAACAAGTCATCTTTTCAAACATTGTTAATGTATAGATAAACCTGTTAAGAACTGTCCTTTAACTTATCCCCTAGGCTTTGTTCGGAGGAATATTTACCTCCGACGGGATAAGCTCTGCCACCTCCGGCATCGTTCCAGACTCCGAGAAGAGAAACAAAGAAGTTTCCTCCAAATTTGACAGACATCATTTGAGAGATCATGTACAGATTGGAAACCAGGGCAGACTAAACAAAATAACCATTGAACATATTTAGGAATAGATTTTTATTTATTAATTAGTGACAAAATCATTTTAGAAACCAAAGATTCTTCCAAAGTTAATGTTCTTTTTTATCAGGTAGTGTAATAGGACAAAAAGTTCACTAACATTTAGAATAAATTTAATTGGCATGTACCTGTAGGATGATAGGTATATTTGAGGTGTAGAATAGTTACCTGTAGGATGATGGGTATGTTTGAGGTGTAGAATAGTTTGATTGGCATGTACCTGTAGGATGATGGGTATGTTTGAGGTGTAGAACAGTTTGATTGGATAACTGCTGTACTGTCCTCTGTATCTGGCAGATTTGATGGGTAGATCTACACGGAATCCCTAAATATGATTTATTTTGAATTCAAGTTAATTTTATTGGGTTTTCCACTATTAATTATTCTTGCAACTTGTTTCAATACAAAAATAATTTAAAACCATTTTTCTCACACTAAAATTATTTACTAAACTGACAGTAATATAACCCTATCCTTCTACCCCTTCTACCACTCTTCTCATAATATGTAATAAGTAGTTGTTTAGTCAATACAAGCTTATCAACCCAGCCCCCTGAACTGTCCTAATACGCGAAACGTAAACCAATCCCCACTCCTAAATTAGACTCTCAACGTTTCTATCTATGTAAATGTTAAATGTTAAGAATAACACGCACCTGGAAGTATATGACCACACCAAAGATGAAGACGGTGGCCATGAGGTTCATGAGGTTGGGCAGGTTCTGCCTGTAGAAAGCCTCCCTCAGAGCTCTGACCTTATCCTGCCTTGTGGCGAGCAGATGAAACAGAGCAATCAAAGCACCCTCAAACTCAGTTCCTGAAAGAAACAATCAGTAAAACCGTAGAAATATTTTTATGTTTATATCTATCTTTCAAGGTGATCGATTTTTTATTCTTAAGAAAAAAATAAGTACGAGGGTGCTAGAGCGTTGGGAACCCGTTGGTCGAAGGGTGAAATTTTAAACTTCATACGGGATTTATTGTAAATTTTTATCCTGTTCCTATTAAAGCAGTATCCCCCGTCAAATATAAAGAAAGAGGGTTGTCTAGAGATTTTGTGGTATAAGTGGCAAATTTGTTGACTTCATGCCGTGGCAGATTCTGCTGACTTACATACTATTTTTCCAGATTTCTTTGACTCATTCCCCTTGATTGACAGATTTTAAAGACCTTTAAACTATTTTCAGCTATTTTTTTAAAACTAATTTACACTATTTGAGTCTTTGTGAAATAATGGTGGTCTAAATTTAAATGAGATTCAAAATGAATCATAAAAGGACTTTAAAATAAGGGTTCCCGGAAAAAAATCTAATGAATTACCTCTGACGGTGTTGACGGTAGCGGGCGAGAACGCCTTCCACACGATAGTCTCGCAGATGTTGGTGGCAATAAACAGAGAGATTCCAGATCCTAGACCGTAACCCTTCTGCAGCAGTTCGTCCAGCAATAGAACAATCAAACCTGGATAAATCATATAATCATGGCAAAGAACTATATAAAAAATCCGCGATATAAAAAAATATAAGAGATAAATCCGCAAAATATACGAGATAAATCCGCGACATATATGAGATACATCCGCGAAATATAGGAGATAAATCCGCGAAATATATGTGAAAAATCCGAGAAAAAATGTTACCTGCGACGAACAGCTGGATGATGATCAGGAGACAGACTCCGGCTCCAATATCAGCTGGATCTCCGTACATTCCAGTCAACACGTATACAATAGCCTGCATATACAACAGATTAGAAGAAAAGATAAACACCTCCCAAGAAACAATCTAAATTAGCTTTAAAAGCTCTTAAATAAATATCTAAAAATTACTCCCATTAAGGATAAAAGAGAACAACAATTTTTGTGTATTAACCCTTCAAAGATTTATTTTTTCAGTAAAGTTCTAGTAGAATTGAGAAAAAAATGTAGTTTATCAAAAATGAAAATTTAAATAAAGAATTAAAGGACAGGGGGGGGGGACTAACCTGTCCAACAGTAATGACCATTCCGAAGAGCTTCTGTGCACCATTGAACATGGCTCTGTCCTTGGGGGTGTCCCCAACCTCTGAGAAAGAAACCAATGCAAAAAATGAATAAAACTTTATTTCAGTTGTTGAGATTAATCGTAAAAATTCCTTTTCGACAGGTAAAAAACACAAATTAATAAGTACCTATAAGCTTAGCTCCGGCCAACAGCTGCATGATGAGTCCTGATGTAACGATGGGTGAGATACCCAACTCCATCAAAGTTCCTAAAATTAGACATTTAAAGTTTGATGTATTTATTTAGAAATGTCAAATATAGAATTATGTATATGCCAAGCAGAGAGTAAATTCGGCAGAATTTTGTCAGTTAAAACAAATCTGTCGATCATGACGAAAAATTAAAATAGATTCGTTTTGTTAAATATACATTATGCATTATTTAGTATTGGTTCAATATCTATGTCTAACAACCCCTTCTAAATCCATCAAATATCTCCTATACCTCTGTTGGAAGCTAGGATAACTCTGATCCAGTAGAAAGGATCTGCAGAGTCTGAACTCATGATACCGAACAATAGAATCTAAAATAATAATTTTAATTAACATTTAAAATCTATATTGGACTCGGTATCAAATATGTACCACTAAATGGGGTATTCTGTCAATAATATCTTTAAAAACGAGGTTTACTAATATTTACTTGAAATATGATGAAAAATGTACCTGGCAACATACTAAGAAGATGAAAAGTGTGATGGCTGTCCACAAAACCTTTTCTCTGAACTGGATTTTGCGTTCAGGTTTCTGTATCTCAGGCAGTATACTGCAGAAGGGTTTCACAAACTCTAGAAATTTTATACCCATTTTGAGGCTTGAGCCAGGCTAGCCTTGCTCTTGATTAAACCTGAAAAAAATATACATTTCATGAGACATTTCAGAATAATAGATTAAGGTCGAATTGGTTAATTAACGACTAGTCGAAATAATAAACAGATTATTATCATAAAACTTTTAACATGTCATACGCCGCATTAATCTAAAGTTTTCAGGGACCTGGACCAGACAGCCAGATATTGAGCTCTCCGGGTTTCCCGGTTCTGTAAAATTCATAGAATTCATCAATGTATTTTTAACCCTTGTAAATGTATAATTATGTGCATAATAAAATATTTATTTATTATATTGTTTAACCTGAGTCCTCACATAAAAATTTATAAAAATACACCAAAAGTGTTTGAATCAACTTCAGTCGTAAATTGATAACAATAAGATGAATTAAATGGTCATGATTTGTTTTGAATTAAAACTAATATCTATAATCGAAAGTTGCAAATTAGGTTATGTTATGATTACTTTTTTATTGTTAAGGCTTTCTGAGATTTTATTTTAATGCATGGTTCGGATTTTACATTCTTGCAAAACGATGTTTTCAAAATAGAGTTTTAATACACGTTACTATTCGTTGTACTGTTATTCAATCAAAAACAGATAAAAATGTATTCATTGAGAAAACAACAGATGTATGAAATACAAACAATTTAAATGTATATTTCTGAATTTATACAGAAAAATAGTGATATCTGTAACACCAATTAAAAAATTAATTAACTTTCATAAACTTTGATATGTTGAGATAAAAAAAAATCTAAGACCCAATATTGTGTATGGTAGTTAATAGGTATACAAATTTTAGACAAATAGAACTACCAATATTTTGTTATGTGTTTGTTATTAAGACAGATGTATCTTTAAGTATCCATTCAATTCTTTTTCATGGTTTTGATAACTTGGTCGTTTGCTGCTGCTAGATAATGAATCATTTCGACTTTCTGTACCTAGGTCTAGGGCTGGACCTACGGTTCCTCCTATGTATGGATTCTCTGGGAATTCAAACTCAGGCAAAGGAAGAAAATCCTAATCTTCATCATATTCCCAGGATTTTTTTCCTTTCCCCGAGTTAGAATGACCTTATTTTCAGTTATAAGGAACACATTAAATTCTAAAAAAATACAGAACAAATTTTGAATTCTTCAAATTTAATAAGTCACAATATTGTTGACTATGTTGCCTAATCTACGATGAACGACTGCGTACACGTAAATAACCTCCTGCTCCCTGTTCTACTCTGAAACTCTCGTACCAAATCTTCCAACTGTTCCATACACGTCATATACACCGCTAGAACCAGGCTTGAGAACTGATCTCCTATTGGTTCTTAGGTTCCAAATCTACGATTTTTCAACTAATCAGAGACCGTCTTGCATTAGTAAATGAGAAGTGTACAAACCGGTCTGCTAAAAACAGCTGATGCGAGATTTCCGGCTTGTGAGAGGTTGCGTGGTTTTCGAAGATTATTGTTGCTGTATCATCTGGACTAAGGTTTACAAAAGCTCGCTCATGTTTTGTTTAGAGGGGAAAACTTTTTGTGAAGAGGGCTATATGTGTGGGAAATTTCAAGAATATTTATTGCTCATTTAACCTAATTACCCCATGTATAATTTTTCTTTTGATCCAATACTGAACTTGCCTTTTCGCTGCTTCTTAATTATTTGTACTGCTTAAGTTGAGGTGGAAAAGTGATTTTAGACAAGTAAAATACTGAATTTGAATTGGTTATCTGAATTATTTATGCTTTTTGGTCGGATTCCTCTTAGGTCAGCTTTCATAGCATTGTAACTGATCTTTTAATTTTATCGGATATCAAAGACGAGGCCGGGTCAAGAGTCCCTTAATAGCACTCTTAACTAATCCTGGTTGGTAGGATCATCTACCCTACGCGTTCATAAGTAGTGCTAATACCGGTATTAACAGAAATACCAGTTTTACTAAGAGCGGTGTTAACTAATCTACCCGCAGGGTAGATTTAGGTAGGATGATCTACCCTAAATAACCAGTTCTACCAGTATTAATTTGGTTTGGATTCGATATTCTCGCAACCTCATGAAATACAGGGATGTTTAAAATACAGGGATGCATAAAAAGCGAAGAAATACTTCTTATTTTGCTTAATTCAGAAAAATGACCCCTCCCCCACCCTCCTTACATAACTATATTAATAAAATGTGTTGAATATAAAAAAAAACATTTTATGAGCAAAACTTTATTAAAGATTTTTTTNATCCATGTGTTGCATATAAGATTCATGTACAAAATTGATAGGAGGGGGGGGGGTCCAAAAATCGTTCTCTAGGAAATTACCCAATCTTGGAATATAAAATAATTTATTTTTTTATGAAATTACCTATTATATTGGTTTGCTCAATTAAACTTCACATGAATATCATATTTTTAAATCTTAATTTTCTTTTAAGGACTAAATCCAAAAAACGGAAACTATTTGTTTACAAAATACCCCCAGGGTTGAGGGGGGGGGGCTAATAACCTTTTATAGCTGTAATGTTTGTCAGGTGGGGGTCAAAAGGTTGTGTATCTAGAGGGATGGAGATCAGTTTCTCTAGCAAACCAAATATTCGGATACAATGGATGGAGCCATTCAGTCTCAAATCAGACAATCGATTTTGTAGACCACTCACAGGTGAATACAGCTGGGGGGGGGGGTAGATTTTGTAGACCACTCACAGGTGAATAAATGTGGGGGGGGGGGTAGATTTTGTAGACCACTCACAGGTGAATACAGCTGGGGGGGGGGGGGGAGATTTTTTATGATTTTCGGAATGACAAAATAAATCTCTTGTGTCCCGCAATAGCACGAAGCATTGGAGAGCCTTAACCCTAAGTGTTGAAACCATGCAACGTAATGTCAGAACTCTAAAGCAATTTTTAAACATTTAAATTACAGAAATAAATGAACATTTAACTCTAAAATGTATTATTTAAGGAGGAAAACGCAAACATTTAGTTATGTCTTCGCAAATGTCTTTCTTTCAAATTATCAAGCAATGATTATTTATTTGAGACAGAAAATCTTAATTGCGAATGCCCAGTCAAAATACATGAATACATATCAATAAATGCTGAAACATTGCTTTTAATGTCCAAAATTGTATTTAAATGGTGTAAACTCTAGGGTGAAGGCTTCTCCATGCATGTCACTGGCTTTGTTTCAGGGAAGATTCTATGTTGGTGTGAGTGCCTTGGTTCGGGTTCAACTCAAGGATGGTAGTTTTCATGAAGACATGGGTTATGGAGTAAGGTTAGACTTAAAATAAAACTCTATGTTTATATTTTATCTTAATTATACCCCCACCCCTTTCATGAATAATAAAACAAATTATTCTTTATAAAGTTCTCCAGCTCCCCCCATCTGCTGAATCAACCTTTGCTATATGTTTGCAAAAATAAATTCATATTTTTTCAGTGGTGTATATTTTTTTAAAAATCATTTTAAATTATTTATTTTCCTCAGAAGTTACTTATGGTAAAATCGGGAAAAATAAATGTTTTTTAGTGAAATAAATGAAATTTCAGTGAAATAAATGATTTTCATTGAAATAAATGATTTTTCAGTGAAATAAATGATTTTTTGTGTAAAAAGTATCATAATAGAATAAAAATAAACTTGCCTTTTGATGGTGTCCTTTTTTCATTTTTTCCCCAATTCATCAAAATCAATTCTAAAAAATATAGACTCATGTATTTTTGGTGAAATATACACCCCTGTATATTTTGGTGAAGTAGTTGTTATTTTTCTTTGTTTTAGTGAAGGAATGAAATCTAAGGCGCTTAGTATTGAAAAGGTAAAATTTAAGTTTTAATTTTTCTTATTTTGGGGTTAACTAATAGTTTTATTTCTATCAGATGTTTCAGTAGAGAATTTTAAGTTTAATATCAAGAAAGAATAGAAATGACAAAGTATAAGTTTGCCAATGATTTTATTCTTTTTGAAACTTCTTACTCCAAAATTAAATCTTTTTCCCTAAAAATCAATTATTTTCCTCAATTTGGCGAATAAAACAATATTCTTATTGTATGGGGAAATGTTGACTTACAAGCAGTGCTTAGGATTCGAATCCGGATCCGTTGGATCCTCAAGATTTTGCCTTCCCTGATCCACAAAAATATGCGGATTTACGGATCCGGATCCAAGGGGTGAAATATCAACCATAAACTGCAAAAAAAACTTTTTTACTCCTAAAACCCAAATCTGAACTTTTGAAAAAAGAGAGATTATATAAATTTCCTCATTTCTGAATGGTTTTAGGATAAAAGAAAGCAAAAAAAATAATACAAAAATTTGAAAATTATTTTTTGTTAAAAAAATTCAGAAAATCTTAAAGAGTTGACCTTGATCCTCAGCATTGCTTACAAGTGGGGGAAGGGTGGGCCGGGGGGATGATTTTTAAGAAAAAATACACCTCTGTGTGTTAGGCTAGAAAAGAGTCTGTTACTGATGGTCTGAAAAGAGCCTTGAAGAGTTTTGGGAATGCGCTTGGAAACTGCCTGAATGATAAAGACTATGTCCGGCTAATTATTGGTAAAAATTGATAGAAAAAGAAAAAACACATAATTAATGTACTTTAATGAACGAACAAGCATTTATTATATTTATAATTTAAGGGATTTGTATTAACACTGTTTTCATTGGGTTTCACTTCCAAATGCACCTGACTCACCCCCCCCCCCCCTCCATATCAACCATTCTGCAATTCTAAGAAATATTTGAATTAACTTTCCTACCTGTGTTTATCCTCGAAATATATCATATAAATTATTCAAGCTTTCGGATGATTTGCAGTTACTCTTTTTTCTGTTATTTGGGGAATATTTTATTTTTTATCGGAAAGTTTTTTCATCATAAATTGTAAATTGTAAAACAAAACACAAGAATAATCGTATATCAAAAAATGTTCTTGCTTTGAAGTAACATTCTTAACATACGCTTTCCTTTGGATCATTGGAGGTAAAAAAGTTGGCTCCGTTCGGGTCAGTATCTTGACCCTAACAAATCAAATATTCATTTTTTAATATTTAATTGTATTCAGGAATACCCAAGGAGACTCCAAAATTCTCGCCGACGGATATTATGAGCGACGAGGTGGGGCTAGGTAAATGTCCCAATCTAAAAGGAACTGTATTTCAAGTGACCCTCCATGATAGGATGTCAAAGTCCGAATTTATATCGGCTCCCTTGAAAGCTTTGTCTGGTCATAGATGAATTCAAAATTAAATCAAATTTCATTTGCGGTTCTTTGCGAAACTGACTTGCGCATTCCTTATTATAAGAAGGAATTTAGAAACTTAAAGAAATAAATACTTTTCCAAAGCTGAAAACTTTAGAATGGTGGATATCAGGATTAAGGGTTAATCCACTCTTTTTCTTAATCTCTAGATTAAATATTGCTTGGTTAACTCATGACTTTAATCTTCAGATTAATTATTCGACGGGATATCTGGATATTTCATTCTAAAGTTTTCAGCTCTGGTCAGAAAAACGACAGGATCTTCCACACTTCTGATCAGATTAAGGTGTTTAGAGCACAGTAAATCTGGCATTGGCAATTGCCATCTTTGCTTGGAGGATCACTTAAAATTGCGCTTACAGTCCCTGAATAGGGAGTGCTCAGCAAAATAGCGGTTTTATTTAAATAATACAAGGTTGACACTTCTTCAGTTCTAATGACCGCTAATTGCCAAAGAATCTAAACTTTTGAACAGAAACATGGAATAGAATATAGAAGATTCATCCTAAACAGAATCCTTAACAAAGAAAGTAAGCTTTAATTACCCTCTAAGTGTAAATAACAACGTAGGAAAACTCATCCTTCACTGATTTATATTATTTGCAAAGAGTAGAATAAAATAAATCTCGACTACTATCTCTTTATGGGAAAAAATTAAATTAAAAATAATAATATTAATTTGGTATTTTTTATTTGCACCTCTGTAGATTTTCATGTATGTATTTGCCTAGGTTTAGCAGAGATCAGATCAAGAAATTTACGGAAAAAAGAAGCTCAAAAAAATAAACTACAAACCTTGTCAACATTAGCTAAGGTAAAAAATTTATATTTTATTTAAAATTAAATCTTAACTAAATGAATAATATCCAATAAATACTCAATAAATACTACAGTTTGACTCGTAAATTTGTGGAATAGAGAGACGACATTTAAGTTTGAAAATCAACTTATCAATATATATATAAACGAAACTTAAATCTCAATAGTCAACTTTCCTAGAGTTGTATTGATCCCATTGAAAAAAAAAACAACGAAAACACGTTTGATCATAAGATATCATAAAACTAATAATTGTTAACAGCCTCCAAGTGGAGAGAGTAAAGAAAACGCTGCGAGTGCCACCTGTGAAGAAAATTCAGAACTACAAAACTCCAAACAGCCGCCAGGGGGTACGGAGAATAGTTCTCCTGCCATTGTTGCGCCGCTGAGGAATGTTCCGTTAAATGTTCCTCTAGAGGATAATCCTCTGTCGGAACGCGGGAGGAGAAAAGTTTACAACATTAATTTAGCGCAAGGAAATAAATCAATCAATTCGTTTAATGAAAATCAGTTTATCAATTCAGCTCAAGAAAATCAACTTAATCATTTTGCATCAATGAAATTCATAAATCAACCCTACTCTTTACTGGATATGGAATGAATATAAATGGATCAATACGTTGGTCGATTTGATAAAAGGGACTGTACGCGTAGTTTTAAGTGACCCTACACTCAAAGATGGCAATGCCTGATTTACAACGTTACCCTCTAAAGTTTTGTCGGGCATTGCCATCTTTTTATGGAGGGTCACTTGAAATTACGTTTACAGTCCCTTTAAGGGCTTTGTAACCGTACAGGCACAGCACATCAAATTTGTTAACTTTGTCATTGTAACTTTGTTTATGATAAAATCAATAAAATGTTGATTTATTGATTGTTAGATGACAGTTCCAATGATAAATCCGGGTCCCAAGGGTCAAACAGTGACCCAGAAGAAGTTAAAAGACAGGTAAATTATCTCACAAAATTTTTAATTTTCTTGTTTGAAGAAAAATCCATTCTCAAATTTTTTAGGAGCGGTTGAAAAAACAACGAGAAATGCGGGAGAAATTTCAACAGGTATTTTTTTTAAACCATTTGATCTGTAAATACTGCTTAAACATTCATTTTTATTGATTAATAAATTAAGTTTTTAAGTAATAACAAAAAAAATTCGTAATTATAAGGGAAAGAAACGCAAAAAAGTTACTCCAGTAATTTTAGTGTTAGAGATAAAGTTTGTCCTGTTCTATATGGGAGGGGGGGGNTATGGGTTGAAGGGGTATTATAAGTCAAATGTTCCTGTGGTGTGGAAATAGAAGGATTCAAAGTTGAAAGAATGTCTGAGACAATTGCAGGAGCTAGGTGAGGATGATCTTTTGATTCTCCTTGATTGGGTTGAGGCTCATCAAAGTTGATGAGAACATCCTGCAGGCAGCGGACATCAATGTTCTAAATATCTAAATATCTAAATAGGAAATATCTAAATAGGAAATATCTAAATAGGAAATATCTAAATAGGAAATATCTAAATAGGAAATATCTATCCTCAAGAGCTTGTCCTCAACCAACAAAGTGATGTACTAAGGTGCTGAGCATGGCGAGGGGCGAGGACCAAGGTCTTTCGGGTACAGTGTGAGAAGAACGGAGTAGAGTGGAAGGAATGCCCAGACTGCAGGAGAACTGGACAAATTAAGAGTTTGGATGAGGTTCATGTATGTTGGAGTGTCTGAATATGAAAGCAGGAGGTTAAGTCTCTGATACATTGTGAGGATAAATCTCCATGCATATTCAGGATCAATGGTAAAAGGTTAAACCAAATGTTAACCCAAGGGGAGTGTTGTTGAGGGTATAAAGGTCCAGCTAGAGCAGGGATGGGACGATGCTTCCTGTGCCTGCCGGCGGTCTGGGGGGTTCATAATTGGGCCTCTTTTTCAGGTTTCATTTCATATTAGTTCATATTAGATACTAGTTACTGTATCAGAGCCTAAAAACCCAGGGGTACAACGTTTATACCCTTAGCAAACGGCAAAAATTGAATAGTAAGCTCTGTTAACCTTACAAAAGAAAAAACTATACTAACTTAGGAACGATGGGTAAAGGTGGTTCCGACGAACTCGGTGAATCGATGGCATGACCGGCCTTGATTCCTGCACCAGGGTACGCCTTGATCATGGGATCATTAATAGAAAAAACCCAAGGCAGACTAACCAGACTGCCCCAGGCGTGTACGTATCGACAGGGGTAGGGTTAGGCTGATGGGTGGGATTACCTGGGGCGAGAAACAACCCAAGCAATTTTGTTAATAATAACAGTTTGGAAAACATTTGGAACTTTTTTTCAAACGATATAACTTTTGCAACTTTTACACTAAGGAAACGATTAGGAATCGATTATCTTGTTTACTTGAGACTTCTTCATGATTTGAATATGAATTGATATTTAGTTGCAACGGAGTAAGGAGGCGAAAAAAGCTTCGGAGGATGAAACTCATATATTTACGGAGGAAGATGAAGACTTATTCAAGCATATGAGTCAGGTAATAGGGATCTGAAATCTGATATAAACTTGCAATCTCTGTTTGATCGTAACCCATGACCACTGGGACTGATATGTTCTCAAATTTTGACGAAGGAATTCGGTTGAACCACGGGAATCTTTTTACCTTGGTTTAAAAATTCTTAGTTTGTTTGACTTAATTTTAGTTTACAGTCGAAGCTGGTTCTGAAGTTACATCAATCATGATCTACTACACCTTTCAATTCATATTTCATAATAAAATTAAACATTTATTCATATAATTTTGGAACTAAAAGGAGTGTTCGCGAAAAATGAAAGGGGGTATAGTCTTAATGCTATAAAAAAGCTCTTTTATCGCTACCAATCTTACTTCTATCTGTTGCTTCTATAAGGAGAAAATTGTTATAAACGACTAATACCGAAGAACGTAATGTCCATACAAATTCAGAAAGATGCAACATTCAACTCGGATCGTAAACAAATCATTCATATATTACAAACAATAGTCATCGATTATTTTTCGACGCATTCGTAAATAGTTGATATTTCATAATATTTTTTTTTCATGATCTGAGAGTTACTTTTGAAAACATTTATGATTATGAAAATATTGATTGAAATTGTTGGTTATAAAAACAAAGGTTAGATCAATAATCATAAAAATAAAGATTAAAATTGATTTAAAAATTGAAATCATTGATTGTATTTAAATAAAGATGGAAGGAAAGCAACTAAAAATAAAGATGGAAATCAATGATTGTATTTAAACAAAGACGGAAGAAAAGCAATGAAAAATAAAGATGGAAATCAATGATTGTATTTAAATAAAGATGGAAGGAAAGCAATGTAAAATAAAGATGGAAATCAATGATCGGATTCAAATAAAGATGGAAGAAAATCAATAAAAATAAATATGGAAATCAATGATTATAAAATTAAAGATGGCTGAGGCCCGAGATGAAGAATGGAGTAGATCAACGCCAAAACGAAGAAGAATATCCAAATCAAGTAAATAAATAATAAAAGATAAAATTCCTTTAAAAATTTGCAAAGAAGAAAAACCGGATTTTTTAAGAGGGTGTGGGAACTGTGTTATAAATGTGAAACTCTTTGAAAGAAGAGATTGTTGGCCATTTAAATTTAAATTTTTAAAGTGTTTAATATTTTTCTAATAAAATTTATTTTAGGTTTGCCAGACTCAAAGTTGGGCGACCTTGCCAGAAGATCCCCTAGGGGCCTCAAGGGGCATGGTCCTTAAGACCTTATAGGATTTGGGGCTTTTAACTTTAAGTTTTAACAACTTTCGCACAAAATGATTTTTAAATTGTAAAAATAGACTGGTACCTGCAAATATTTATGTGATAAAAATACGCTTGATATAACAATTATGTAAAATTAATGATTTTGTATATTTTCAGACAAAATGTCGGTTATAAATCCTGGACATCCGAACTACACACACCGACCTGGACCCCCGCAGCTAGGTAGCTGGGCCACAAAATTTGCCGGATTTTCGGAACCTAGAAAAAACATAGAACAATCCAATAACTGAAAATAAAATCGCATTTTTAGCTTAACTTAATTCTAAGGAAAGATGGAGTTTAAACAATGTACCCGGCTAGGGGTTAATATTTGCCTTTAAAAAATATTTGTCTCCCATTCCAAATAGTTTTTTAAACAATTACCAATCCGGCTTATATTTACTATTTATTTTGTTGACTTCTGAGGCCCATTCAGCAGAGTTAAAATCATCAACTGTTACGGCTGGTTCAATTTGGCTAACATTTTTCGCTATTCAGTTCAGGCCCGTTCAAGCGAACTAAAAATGTTGACTTCTCCATTCTCAGGCCCGTTCAACAGAGCTAAGATTAACCGTTTAGGACTGTTCAATCGGGTTAAATTTGTTTACTATTCCCATTACCGAATATTCCCGTTAAACTTAACTTAATAGAATAATTTCATCAGAACTAAAATTTCTTGGAACTACTTAGGCCCGTTTAACCGAACCAAGACGCATGATGATCCTGAGCGTTGGATTTGTGTTTATCCTGCTTACCTGAACAAAAAGAAGACCCTCAAGGTAAAACAAGAGTTTAATTTTCAGCCGCAAACAAATTAATGAGGTGTTTAGATAAGAAAAAATAAATACTTGATACTCATTCCAAAATAAATTTTTCGGTTTAGGAAGGGAGAAAGATTTTTGGATAATACAGTATACTAGAAAGTATATAAAAGCTATAAAAGCTGTGTCGGATGATACAGTATAATAGAAAGTATATATTAAGGATATAAAAGCTGTGTTTGATAATACAGTATACTAGAAAGTATATATTAAGGATATAAAGGCTGTATTGGATGATACAGTATACTAGAAAGTATATATTAAGGATATAAAAGCTGTGTTGGATGATGCTAAGATGGAATATATCCTGGAGAGAAAGTTCTACAGTAGAGAGAGAAGCAAGGAGCCTACATATATCGGTAACAAAAAAAATTGAAAATTATAATAAATTATGATTTAAAAAGAAATAACCATTTTTTATTCATTCAATTTTACGCTCCTAATATCTTTTTGTTGTTCTATGAATTCATGTTTATTGTTTATCTCTATTTATCTATCTATCTTTTTATTTGTCTGTCAGTCTATCTAGGAATAATATGATCCGTCTAAATGTCTAATCTATCTATCTATCTGTATATTTATCTATTTATCTATCTACCTTTATATCTATCTTTCTATCTATCTATCTACCTATATCTATCTATCTATCTATCTTTCTATATATATATATCGATCTATCTATCTGTATATTTATCTATCTATCTATCTAGGAAGGTTTAAAGTGCATCTGAAGGACAAGGAAGGAGAATATCTAAAAGAAGAATTTCAGTCTAGGTTAGTAAAGTTACTGCAACAGAGGGAAAAATATACTATCATCCCCGCCTGGTTAAACTACATAAACTTATTTGAAATGAAGAACCACCTCTCTTCAATTTAAACCGATGCAAAAAGAGAAGTGGTTCAACTACGTCTGCCCAGCTCAACTTCTTCTCATGGGTGTATATTTTCTTAAAAAATAATTTTTTTCTGAAAATTTTAAATTAATGTTTTTTGCCCTAGATGTTAAGGAATGTTTTTCAGGAGCGCAAAATTTCTTTTTGGGGGGATTTGCTTTCGACTAAAACTATCCAAAAAGTACCCAAAAAGTACCCAAAAAGTACTCAAAGTATCCAAAAAGTATCCAAAAAGTACCCAAAAAGGATGAAACGTTGTTGATGCTCTCAAGAGAAAAAGAAAAATGTCATCAAAAGACAAGTTTTACATCTTTTTGATACTTATTATCCAAAATTAATTTATTATCCTCTAATTTACATTCTCTCAACTCAGCGAATTTATTTTTTTACAAAAACATCAGGTGTCTTGAACTCAACTCTGTGGAAAATAAGAAGCAGCTTGAATCCGAAAGCTCAAGCCGTAAATAAGGTCGAAGGACAGATTAGACCCTAGCCGTATTTTCCCGAATATTTTTATTCGTGGGCTCTGGTGAAAAAAATTAATTAAGCTTTCATAATTTTTAGGAATTCCATTCTGTTGTATTTGGGGGAGAAAATTCCCCAACTCAAATCTAGAACCAATCCTAAAGGTACACAGTTTTTTATTTTCTTAACTACTTAAGTCTTTTAAGATACAGTGATAACCAGAAAACTCTGAAATAGGAAGACGACTTTCGGACTGAAGTTATGACTTTAAATAGTCCTATGAGCATTGAGCATATCACACAGCAACAGTGTTGTGAAAACCGATCAAATTCTCTTGTTTAATGATTTCATAAGTTTCTAGTAAAATTTTTTGCTTTGTAACAACATCAAATACACTTAATTGTATTTCTATGTATATAGTCGTATTTTTTTTCAGAGTTTTCTGGTTATCACAGTATTTCAATTTAATTAATTTGCAACAATATCTTACATTTAAAATTCAGTGCTGTTGATTTTGATGTTTTCGAGTAAAACCTACCATTCTATAAAAAAGAAACGCCAAGATTAGCTCAACACGTTTTTTTTTCATATTTTTTACAGAATTTTGTTTTTAGATATAAATATCGCAAAAAATTTAAACAAAATTTTTTCGTATAAATTTTTAAACGTAACTTTCATTGAAGTTTGACTTAAGTTTTCCCAACATTAAGTCATTTCTGAAGTACACTAGAATCACTAGGCGAAGATATAAGCAGAATATAATAATTTAAAGTTACTAAAAACAAACAAGTTTTTAATTGTTTACACCGTGTAGTGACCTGTACATTTCGTGCGAATGTTGTTACAGTGTTCATGCTTCCAATATCAGTAAATCTCCGTCATTAATAATCAGACAAAGTTTTACAGGGTACCGGTTTGAATCCCACCTAAAGGGCCATTTGCATTCAGTCTTTTTATGCAAAATTAATAATTTAATAATTGCTTTTTTACCAGGTCCTGCTGCTGAACAGCCTCAACAGCAACAAACTGGCGCTGTCCCCAAAAAGAAGAAAGGGAAGAAATAGACTCCTCTGAAATGTGGCCAATAAACTCTCCTGAAATTCTTCTGTCGAGGAAACTCGACATTTCTTTAAATCATGATGTAATCTTATTTTATGTTTTCTTATTTTTTCAGAGTTTTCTAAATAAATATATCATTTTTTCTGTTATCAATAATTTTTGAAAAACCCTTCAATAAATATTTTGATTTTTTTTTTATTAAATTTTTGTTGCAGACTTTAAAATGGGTGGCGGGCAAGATAAGCTATGAAAAATGAAAATACTTAGTTTTCTGCTTTGTGTCCAGGGGCTTCCAGCAGACATCAAGGGGGGTCCAGGGGCACCAACAGATCCTTCTTTAGGGGCACCAACTGATTGGGACTCTGATTATGAGACCAGTACTTCATTTTTCCACCCTGAAACCACCTCCTTTAGACAATCGGATGCATTTGAGTTGCCCTTGGCTGTCAACGTTTTAAAAAATGATCAACAGGTTGAAACGACTGAAGATCTGCCGCCCCCGACTCTAAAAAATAATATTAGGTAAAAAGTTTTTTTCTCGCTTTTTAACTATTTTTTAAATTTTGTTATTTTAGTTACCTGACAATACCTGAATCTCAAGACTCAATCAAACAAACGTTTGATCTGCCAAAAACTAACAATGATCTCTTTGAAAATCCGGGAAATTCCGAGAAAAACCCGCCAAACTTTGAGTTGGGGTCGCCACATGTGTTTAGCCGGCGCCTTGGTATATCTGAAAGCCTGTCTCAAGTGAATACAGTACCTGATCTAACCTTTACTGAGGTATAAACCACTACATTTTTCTAATGTTGACAATTTAAATGGACAGTTCACTATTTCAGAAAAATTTAGATGTATTTTATTTAGGGTTTTGTTCTAACTGTTAAGAATGTTCCGTAATTAACGAGAGCTTTGTTAACGATACGAATTCTATCTCACATCGAAAGGGGGGGGGGTAAAAAACCGGTTCAATATTCTATTTGGCATTCCGGGTTTTGATGAGAACAAGATTCAACATTTAGCCTTATTTTCCACTAAAACCAACCAAGGTCGGTTTTATTTTCATTGTGCCTAACTCCTTAAGTTGAGCCTAAGATCTCGTAGCTGTCAATAACGTGACACAAGTTCTCGTCAGAGTTGGGTCTAAGATTGGGTCTCACAGCTGGGTTTAAGGAATTACGACCCGAGCCGAAGCTTTTAAATAGCGGGTTCATTGTTTTTAAACCTCCATCTGTAATTGCTAAGCATTATTTTTAAATAATTAAAAAATCTAATTTTAGGTTGTGAGATCTCCGTGTAGAATATTGACGAAACTAAATCCTAAATGGGAGAAAATTATTAATTGTGACTCATTCAGATACAGGTTAGTCAAATTTGCAAACATTTTCTTTAAAATATTTCATTAAGTGTGAATGAATTTATTAAAAAAAGTTATTGAAGTAAGTCAAATCTGGTTTATTAGCATTCGAATTCAGTGTCAAGTTATATTTTTTTGTAAAATTATTCCACTCCTCCACTTCAGAAGATCAACCCCCCCCCCCCTTGATGTTAATTATGTTTGTCTGGAGCGTCCAACATTTTTAAACTGTTATTTACTGGATTGGGTAAAATAACTGATTTTAAAGTGGGAGTGGGGGGGGGGGGGGAGTTTGGGTTACAAGTATCTAACAATTTGAAAAAATAGTTTTCCATTTGATGTCCTGGATGGAAACACATACTCCTGTTTCTATAATGAATTACTTTAAAATTAAAATTATTTTAGTGATTGTAAAAAAGACGATAAATCAGAAAGATTAAGATTTAACACAACAGCATCGTGTCCTTACCCTCTTATACCAACACAGGTAGATACTCTTTAAGGGACCCAATTTAATAAATTTGAGCTAGGTCGCTGAACTATCTACCGTCGCTGACCTATCTACCATACCATTGCTGAACTATCTACCGTCACTGAACTATCTACAGTCACTGAACTATCTACCGACACTGAACTATCTACCGTCACTGAACTATCTACCGTCACTGAACTATCTACCGTCACTGAACTGTCTACCGTCGCTGAACTATCTACCATTGCTGAACTATCTACCGTCACTGAACTATCTTCCCTCACTGAACTATCAACTGTCACTGAACTATCCACTGTCACTGAACTATCTACCGTCGCTGAACTATCCGTTGTCACTGAACAATCTACCATTGCTGAACTATCTACCGTCACTGAACTATCTACCGTCACTGAACTATCTACCGTCACTGAACTGTCTACCGTCACTGAACAGTCTACCGTCGCTGAACTATCTACAGTCACTGAACTATCTACCGTCGCTGAACTATCTACCGTTCCTTAACTATCTACCGTCGCTTGGTTGTTTGGTGAATTAATCTCTAGACTCCAGTTAGGAGCATATTAAGAATCTGCATAGAGTTTAGATTCACTGAGTAACTATTTATATCAATATTTTTACTCAAACAATGTCTCCAGCATTTCTTTGGTAAATGTTTTTAAACGTTTTATGATTTCTAGCGTATTTAACTTCTTCCGGCAAACTGAACTAAAAAACGAAAAAAATGGCTCTCAATTCCATTCTTGATCGGGAGGGCATCAGATTTAGTGGATGTGCAGTTAGACGAGTTAGTCTATGTTGACCTAATCCGGCAATATTAAACCATGTATTACTCTTTACATCATCAAAACCACAGATAATCTTAAATGTTTGTAGCATGTCGATATTGATTCTTCTGCTCTCCAGCGATTCAAGTCTCAGTTCTTGAAGTTTATCTTCATAATTTCTACCTGTCAGTCCAGATATCATATTTATGGCTCTACGTTGAACCCGTTCTAGTTTTTGTCTACAAGGACACCACTCTGAGACAGAAAACTCCAAATGGCATCTTACATATTGTTTATACAAGTTCAGGAAATTATGTCGATCTCTGAAATGGAATGCACTTGAAATTGTTCTAAGCATATAAATTGCTGTTTTAGCAGCTTCTAGGCACTGGATTGAGGGTTTTGAATCATGTGACACTTTCACTCCAATATCCTTCTCTATTTTGACCTCAGATAACTTAACTTCGTTCAAAAAGTATTCATATTTGGGATTATTATGTCCAACATGAAGAATCTTGCATTTAGCAACATTAAATGACATTCCCCATAATGAACTATCTACCGCACTGACCTACCTACCTTCTGCCGGAGAGTTTACATCTATAGAACATTGAAAAAACCATAAATTACTTGTAAACATGGTTGAACCGTCTCTTGAGCTAGTTTAAATTCATTAAATCCGGTCCAACATACAGTTTGAAGTATTTGTTACTTAATTGATATGTTTGTTTGAAACAAAAGCTATTACAACTACATTACAGGGTGATCCAAAAAAATGTGGTTTAGGGTTTAAGGTTTTTAAATCATGTTTAAGATTTAAAAAAGGAGCCCTGGGTATAGTTTCAATTCTAGCGGTCTAATAAGTAACTTTTTGTTAACCGAACGATTCATTTAGAAAATTATTGATTAAATTGTATTACCCTGAAATATAGAAGTTGTCACTGTGGGTGGATTTCAAGATCAAGAATGATAAGTTAGCGCTTCAAACTCGTAAGGTTTTACCTCTATAAACTTTTCTAGGATTCTAACTCCTATTTTGGAGAGATCGACGAGTGTGCGCTTTCTTGTCAGAGCCCAATCCTCACCCAGGAGCAGTACACCAGAATTAGGTAGAAGCACCATTTAATTCCTTGATTTTTTAGACATGCATTGTACATAATTTTTTTTTTTAAACGATCAAAGTTTCTGCCATTTAAGGTATAAGTAACCATTTCTATTTCTTACTTTTTTAATTTTAAATTGGTTTTTGTAATTTATCAAATCGAATGTGTTATTTTTTAGGACGTTCATCGGCATTGCGGGGACAATTTGCTTAGGAAAATATTATCTTCCTAACTATATTTAAGCAACTGTTAGGACATTGATTGTTATTTGGCGCAATTTTTAACCAAATAATTATTTTAAGATAATAATTGAAATTTAGTGAGTACACTGTTTGCCATCTCAACATTTCTAATTGATTGGGTTGGAGCCAACAAGGAACCAATACATTTTAAACTAAACTTATCAAATAAGCGTCATAATGGTAATAGCGCCTCCACTGTAATGGGGCTAATTTATGAACTAAGCAGCGCCACTGTTGTAATGTGGCCAATTTATGAAGTAGGCAGCGCTGCTGTTGTTATGCGGCCAATTTATGAACTAAGCAGCGTCGATAAATGCGGCCAATTTATTAAATAAGCTGCATCATTTCTGTAATGTGACCAATTGATGCTGCGATGCGGTCAATTAATGAACTAAATCTTATCGGATGTATTATATATATTATCGGATGTAAATGTAAAATGTGTTTGGTTAGTATCCTGCTGTAGCAATATTTTATATTAATATTTGCTGTTTCCTCACTACACTAGGCTGGCTGGCGCAGTTAGGTAAACATTTCCTAATTAAATTGTTGTAAATAAAGTACGTAAATTTTACGTTAACCTTTTCTCTAAATATATATTGGGCTTGTATAGTGTACACTGAGTACAGGGGCGTAGTCAGGAAATTTTCCACGGGGGAGGAGCTCAGCACCTGTTTTGGACCCCCTGAAATCCATAGATTTCATTTGTCTAGGGGGGCTATGCTAAGCCCCATAGCCCCCTTTGACTACGCCTTTGACCAGATATTGCGCTGCTTTTGCGGGAAGTATGCGCATTTCCGGGCAAAACTAGAGGTGCATCTGCAACAACAAAAAAATTCTTTAAAAACTTTTTACTATGTGGAAATCTCTGATCTATATCGTTACCATCCAGCATTATAAGTTTTGTCAACGTACTGTTTCCATTTTTTAGAACCCCTATTGGGAGCTATAAATACAACATTGTACAAAAACTTAAGACACCATTGTTCAGGTGCTAAAGACGACATTGTTCAGGTGCTAAAGACGACATTGTGTGCCGAAAAGACGGAGTACTGAGACTAGCGGAGCCTGGGTCAGGGGAGAATTTATCCTGTGTAGTTGTCTTCATTCTAGTAAGTCAGATAGAATTTTTTAAACCTATTAAGGGACTGTTGGCGGAATTTGAAGTGAACCTCTTTAAAGTGAGTTGTGTACTCAATTCACAAGTGTCATTTACGTTTTCTGATTACCTTAGTCAGCAAGTTTTTCGTTATTGCCACCTATTCAAATTTTGGATACAGTTCCGTTTACAGAAGAAGGTTGTTAAACAAATTTCTTGCATAGTCCCCTTTAAAAAAAATGTTTCAGGAATATTATTTTTCACATGCTTAACACCTGAGTCTCAAGTTTTTCGTTATCGCCACCCTTGGAAATTTCAGATAAAGTCTCTTTTATAAAAGAAGGGTGATTAAAATTTTCGTGTACAGCAAGGATTTAATGCAAGGAAAGTTATTTCAGAGGTGTACGCATCTTTCGTACTGCAGTGTACTGACTCTGGGCGGTAATGTTAACACAAGACGGATGTCGAAGTCTGATATGGGATCCATTTTTCACATAAGAAAATCAATGAAGTATTCTGGACATATGAAACTTTTATGTAAATTATCAAAATTCAATGCTTTTAACCTCGTCGGATACTAAACGAACACTGATGCATCTATTCTTGTTTACAAATTCCGACCAGAAAGAACTGGTTTCAATATGTACGCAGAGTATACGCAACTGCAATTAACTTTCCTTGCATTACATTCTTGGTGTACAGTCCCTTTAAACTTAAAACTGTTGTAGGTATATTATTTCTCCCTGGCGGGTGGTGTATGGTTAATAATCCTAACCTACACCTGGGCCGTTTTCTTCACATGCAACTCAAAGGTAAACAACAACAATATTTTTGGGGATTTTTTGGAGAGGTCGGCCATCTTGTTTGATCCGTATTTTATAGGTTTTTTACCCGCATATATCTTATAAGTTGAAGTTAGACCAATACAAATTTTTATTACACAGGGCAAAATGTTGCCCGATTTTTGAGATAAATAAATATTTATTGTATACTACACAGATATGTAACTTCGGTCAGAGTCAATCTTTTTCATAGTTCATAGTCAAATAAAACAAAATTCTAATTTTTATATAGCCTTATGTGATTTTTGAGCCAAAAACTTTAACGTTTAAAAAATGGAGCATAAAATTTTGAATAACACATAAAATATCATTTTTTAAAATAATTATTTCTTGTGGAAAGAAGATGAAGTATTGAAACATTTATTAAAAATTTGTAAATAATTTGTAGCTTTCATTCACGGATATTCAAACTAAAGGTAACTATACTATCGTTTAATATCAAATGATCAAACTTTAATTTTGTTTGAAAATTTGGTGTTAAAACCACAGAATTAATAAAGTAGGTGTTAGTTCTTCATTTTTGTTTGAAATATAGTATTGGTTTGGTTGACATCTTCGGATCTAACGATGTAATAAACATCAAAATGAATAATAAAATATAAAAAAGATTAATAATGAAATATAACAAACTAGAAAAAGTAAAAATCCCGGCAATAACTTTTTCGCACTTTTAATTGTATTTTTGTTCATCCTTTTAAGATATCATTCTCAACATATGAAGTTGTGGGTTCCTTTAAATTATTTAAAATTAGCTGAAGTGCCCGACGTTGCCCGTGGAAAAAAATTTGAAATTTTTTTTAGCCTATGTTACTCGGGAATGCCCCTTGGTTCCCCTTGGTCCAGCCGTTTGGCCGGCTATAGGGAACATTTATACGAATGTCTGTTTTATTATATAGATTTATTTGAAACATATTTGGAGGTTCTGATTGAACCTAAACCTACGTACATCCACCGGGAGGGGGGGGGGAGATGGGTTATAAAAGAAATATCAAATATCCTGTAAAACAATATTTAACGTATTTCTAGGTAAAGGATCTGATCGAACCTAAAACTGCGTACTTCCACATGGCGGCCTGGTCTTTCCCTGCTGTTCTTACAATTATTATCATGGCCATGAATCAAGTAGAGGCCAGCAGTATATACGGTTAGTACCTTTTCCTCCTGTTCTTACAATTATTATCATGGCCATGAATCAAGTAGAGGCCAGCAGTATATACGGTTAGTTCCTTTTCCTCATGTTCTTACAATTATTAAGACATTTGATGATACTAAACTTAATTTTTTCTTTCGAGGAAAAAAGTCCTTTTCATGTTTATGATGCAAAAATTACCGAAAATCATTTAAAGATTCCCCCTGTGGAAAATTTTAAAAAGCCGTGGTTCATCTATTTGAAATATACACAATAACTCATTTTTAATCAGGATCACAAACCAGGATTATTTTGAAATTATTCTAGCACTTTTATCTACCATTTTTTTATTCTGTGACATTTCTTAAGACTAAGAAAGGCCCAGCTCTACATGCATCCTTATTAGAATTATTGATATCTCAGCATATTTTTTACATAGTTGAAAAATCCCTATTTCAACCCGTTTTGTTTAGGTATATGTTATATTGGATATGAAACAATCTCGACTCGAATTATTTTCCTCATTCTTCCGTACTCAATATTTCTTCTCATCAGTGGTTACTACAGGTAGGTCATCATATCATTACTTGGTCAGGGATGAAAACCAAAAAAGCAAAATTAAAAATTTGAAAATTAGAATTAAAATCGGAAAACAGATGGATACAGAACATGTGAAACAAATGGAAAATACAGGAAAAGTCAAATCAACAACAAAATGTCTAAATGGAAATCAGAATGGAACGAAGACGTAAAAAATACTAGAAAATGTATCCACAATATTCCATAATCAGTTCAACTACCTTACATAGCCGGTCTGTCCCTTTAAGTAATCTTAGCATAATATGAACTTAATATTCGTTTTTATTTTGGCAAAACACATTTAAAACAGTGAGGAGGTATCTAATCCAGTATTTCTTGTATTGTAGTGTACGATGTTTAATATTTCTGTGTGGAGTTTATCTAACCCCAGATTTCCTGTCGGAGAGGGAGAGTGCTAAAGTGCAATCAACATTATTTAGGTTTGTACTTCAGATGTTAATTATTTTTCCTATGTACAAAGATAATTTTTAAAGTATTGTTCAAAAAAAATATATCTGGGGTTGGGATGAATCATTTTTTTATAATATAAGTGTTTTTTTCTTTTAATTAATCTTTTTTATAAAAAGAATTTGATAGAAACCACTCAAAATTGTTGTTCTTTTAGAATTGGGTCGTTTTCTGTGTTGACCGGAGTATGTATTCTTGCCTCCTTCTTGTGTCAGATTTATGAATTCTTAAACAAGGATATTTGGAATTCAAGTCTTCAGGACCTAGTCCTCTGCAACATCAAGAACCAGGTTCAGTCATCTATTCATTTATTCATTCATCCTGCCTTATATACATTCAAGTCTTCAGGACCTAGTCCTCTGCAATATCAAGAACCAGGTTCAGTCATCTATTCATTTATTCATTCATCCTGCCTTATATACATTCAAGTCTTCAGGACCTAGTCCTCTGCAATATCAAGAACCAGGTTCAGTCATTTATTCATTTATTCATTCATCCTGCCTTATATTCATTCATCCTGCCTTATATACATCCTTCCTTTCTTTCTTACATACATTCATCCTTTATTATTTTTATGCATTCATTTATCCTTTAATATCTTCATCCTGTTATGCCTGTATCCATTCTTTCATCCTACATTTCATTCATTTATTTATTTATTCATTTTTCAATCAATAATTATTTCATTCATTATTCCTTTTCTTCCGTCGAATATTCATCCTTTCTTTTTATATGATAACGTATTTATTTATTATGAATTTAATCTTCGTCATATGTCAGCGTCTGTGTTGTCGTACCTGTCGGACTATCCCCATTCGACAGTAATTACGAAATAAGATTTAAATATCTTACTTTTGGTTCAAAAATCATTAATTTGATTTTAAGTTTTGAAAAATTATCTTGATTTAAAAATACTCATGAAATTTAATTTGATTGATTGATATATTAGGAGAAATCTCTGCTCCCTGGTCCCCCTGCAGTGGATAAGGAGTGTAAGATGGCGGATTCACCAAACCAAACCATCCTCGAGGTTCAACTCCTCTGCATGTTCGGGGCCGGCATTCTCTCCAGCAGCTGGGTTTATACCAAGGTATCATATTTTAGGATAAGGTTATTTTGGAAAACTGCAAAACTTCTAAAAATGAACATTACTATTCTAATCTTTTTCCTGTTTTCTGAAAATCTGGACCCAGCTCTTTTCTTTTACAATTTTTATTCTTCTTTCTTTAAAAGCCCTTGTTCAGGAATACTTGAACATATAATCCATTGTTAAGTAATACTTGAACATATAATCCTTGAACAATCAACATTCAACATGTAATGGTTTGTTCAATAATCCTTGAAAAAGAAATCCCTTCTTCAGTAAACCTTGAACATAGAATCCCTTGTTCAGGATCCTTGAAAATATAATCCATTCTTAGGTATCCTTGAACATGTAATCATTTGTGCAGAATTCCTTTATAATTTAATGCATTCTTCGGTAACCCTTTTTTCAGTGATCTTCAAACATGTAATTCCTTGTTCATGAATCCTTTAATATGTAATACCTTGTTCAGTAATTCTTAAGCAATAAAATCCCTTGTTCAGTATAATTCTGAAAATATAATCCAATGTGATTGTTCAGGAATCTTTAAACAGCTGGCGTATATTCTTCCATCAGCTATGTACCCGGCAGAAATCTCAACGACCGCTGAGACTCAAGAAACATGAAATGATTGCTCAAGGAAAACTAAAATCAAAATTAGACATTGATTATATAATATATATGGAGCTTTGATGTATCTTTTGCTTGTTTTTGTTTTTATTTTAAAAGTTGTTTAGAGATTTTTAACCTATTTTTTCAAATTTCCGATGGTGATTTTTTTTCACAGCATTTAGCAAACGACGGGAACTTCAAGACCATGGTAGGCTCTCCCTGACCCTACAATCTGCACATGTTGACCCATTAGGTAGGTCATTACTCATTTCACCTTGTCGAAAATGTTTTCCCGGGGCGTTTTCATTTCATTTCATTCATTTCATATTTTTATTCAACAACAAAGCATGAGATATTACAAATAAGCAATCACAATTTACTATGCAGTTTGGACCCGCCTAACCAGGGTTGGTTGTTTTGAGTGGTTGGCCCGAAGTTGATTAACGATAAAAGTAAAAGTAAATTTTCCAAATGAAAATCGCATCTAAATAAAATGCCAATTTCCTATAAATAAGGAAATATTTAGTTGATCTTATTGTGTTTAATGTTGAAAATAATCAAAAATAAAAATAAGAATATCTCAATCATCCTTGATTATACTAAGCTAGCTATGAAAGGTGTACTTGTGATCGGAGGACCACTTGAAAAGACGACTACAGTCCTATTAATTATTAATGATGTGTTGAGGTATGAACCTGGAGCTAGGTGAGGAGAGTAGTGGAGAGATAAGTTCTAACTGGGCTGCTGCTCTACCCTATCTAGTTCAACGCCGAGGAGGTAGATGTGGCGCCGAGCAGCTGGGATTAGGACGCAGGAACTCACAAGAATCTTTGAACAGTAATTTCAGTCAATCTGTTAGTATTGCGGCCAGTGTGCAGAGTTCCAGGTAATCAATGGCTACATTATTATTTGGGGGGGGGGGGGGAAATATGCGAAAACAGGGAAAAATGAAAATTGGACAATGGTCATTAACTTCCCTTTTTGATACTAAACACCTAAAAATGCATTCATTTTTCCCTTACATCTTTTTATTTTTCTCAGATAATAGTTTAACCCTATTCAGACTATTTACCTAAAGCAGACTATTTTCTTATTGTGATACAAATCTATAAAGAATGATAAAAAGAATTAGAAAGCCCTTGGGCACCACTTTAATAATCTGCGAAAAAATTTGCAAATTTAACATTTTATATATTAGTTGCAAAATCAAGTTTTTTAGCTAAAAATTTGCGGACTATAATAAATTATACATGTTTGTAAAGTCCTTTACCCAATAAACAATATTTTCCCAAGAAAGGGTACTGGGGTTCCAGCAAATTTTCATTTTATTTCCAATTGTTGACTCAAGTGTAGTGTAGTGTTGTAACAGATGAAGTTAATTGTCTTCATTATTATAATTTATCATTTTCAGCATCATAATATTTTGAAACTGATGGATTATCATTCTTAGTGTTGAGCACTTTAATTAATTAGTATCAAAATGAATACAGGAGGGGGGGGGGGAGGATTTTTGTAGATTTGAGGGATAAATAAAAAATTGGATATCAAAAAAGAAGTTTTCATTTATTTTGATTTTTATTTATTTACGCCTAAAAATTGTTCAGTTTTCAAATTTAACGAACCCCGAAAAAAATACCAAACTTATGGGGATGAAAAATTATTTTCAAACGGGGGGAGGGCGAAAGGGGGTGATTTTTCAAGAAAATATACACAAACGAAAAACAATACATTTTAATTAATTTTAGATTTGGTTGGTGGGATAGAAAACAGTCAGGGGATACTCAGAGTATACAGAGATCAGATCTAGACAGGTACATTCAGCTGTTTGATCGATTGATCAGTTGATTGATTGATCGGTTGATCGATTGATTGGTTGATCTATTGATCGGTTGATCGATTGATTGATAAATCGATGGATAGATGGATCGGACGATCGATGGATCGAACGATTGATGGATCGAACGATCGATGGATGGAATGGTTGATTGATTGATAATATAATAGATGATTTATGAATTAAGAAATAGGTATCTAATTTATGAACAATTAATAGATTAGTTGATTGAAAGATCGTTTAATTGGATGATGGTTTGAATGACTTCTTGAATGATTGATTGTTTGATAGATAAAAATGATAAATAAACAATAAATTTATTGATTTATTAGTAATTGATAATTAATTGTTTTAACAAATTGCATTAAAAAATTGGTAAATATCTTGATCACTAAATCGATTGATTAATTCATTTAATTAATTAATGGATATAAAGTTAATGAATTGATTGATTTGTTTGTCTTTTTAACTTAACTAATGAATAAAATAAATTGAACAAATAAATAATTATATGAGAAATAGGTTGCAATCCATTTACGACGACTCAGTGCGGAAAACCAAAAGGAAGAGTAAACGAGATTTCTTTAAATCTCATGCAATGAAAGTCCGGCCTTGGAGTAGACTTAGCAGGTCATTTATACTTCATTCCTTCATTCATTCAATATTTTAGTAATAAAATTTGTCACAATTTTCTTAATAATTTAAAAAGCCAATTAGATAGCCAGATAGCAAATTACGACTACTGATGGGTTATATATTCAAAGATATGCAAAGAAATTAATTTAATCTAAAAGATACAGATATGGAAAATATATTTCCAGGATGGATTTAGAGAATATATTTCCAGGATGGATATCTATATATAAAGTTTTAATCTCTGTCTGTCTGTCTATCTATCTGTCTTTCTGTCTGTCCGTTTTTTTGTTCGAACATAATTCGGAAACCCGTGGATCGATTTGCCTCAAATTCTGATTGGGGAACTCGGGAGACCAACAGGAATGTTCTTATTTTGGTTTTAAGAGTCTAAGTTGAGTGGGTCGACTTTAATAGCGAAAATTTAGTTTCCCGGTGAAGTAGTTCGGGGAAACAGCCGGAGTAACTTTTAGTAACCTGGGCAGCGCTGGGTTCTCAACCTAGTAGAGAATATATTTCAAGGATGAATATATCACTCTGGGCCGTAGTAAATTTGAATTCGAACAGGACCTGCCCAGTTTGTACCGGCCTGCCAGATAACAGCGTGTACTGACCCGATCCTATGGTATATTCTGTAAAGCACGTCGCCCTAACCAGACTAACATACGACAGGGGTCAATTTTCTTGGCATAGTCCTGTCGGAGGGCTAACTACGACAACTCCCATGGTGCGTTCAGACTTTTTACAGTACCCGGCCTAATCCTAGGCCTATTTGACCGACCCCAATGGCTTAGTCCACCGTGATAGAGAATATATTTCAAGAATAGATATAGAGAATATATTTAAAGGATGGATTTAGAGAAAAAATTTCCAGGATGGATTATTGGATATAGTTAAACTGGCAGAATAATCCTTGATAATATTGTAGGCGTGGTAGTACAGGGAGTAGGCGGGATAGCAGTTACACCAGAAATTCTGAATCATCAATGAACTCACAGGAATTTAATCGACTCATTTTAAACAGAATATAATTCATGAAATTGATTTATTTGTGATGTATATTTGAATCTATTGATATCATCTAAACCCATATAACTGTGAGGAAGGGAGACGACTGTAACATTCACGTTACGGTTTTTAATACTCCAATAAACATAAAGAGCACCGTGCAGTGTATAAAGTCCCATTTCTCTCAACTAGTGGATTTCTAAGTTTGTTACCAATAAAACATTAAAATGTCGCTTTCAAATTACACAATATTACGGGTCTCTTGTAATGAAGTTTCACGTATTTTAATATTTTTTTATATGTAAGTCATGAAAAAATTGCCCCTGAAACATTAAGATAAGATTGTATTAATAAAGAAATGAGTTTTAAATGCATTCACATCGAATTCTCAAATAATTGCTAAAATGTCGTCCTCTTTAGTTGTAATTTATGAAAAATTGACCATATTGCAAGGCTGTAATCGATAATAAATGAGTGTTAAATGTATTCAGATATTACCGGCCATAACGCTGGACCCTGCCAAGCTAGTTGGTAAGCACCGTAGGTCCGAATACAGTTTACCCGAACCCGGTAAAAGTACGGACTTTGGTAAACGGCCAGCCGTAGGTCCAGACCCAGGAGATCCCGTTTATAGAGAACTGGAGGAGAAACTCTTCAAGCTGGCTCATAACAGTCGAGACAGTTCTCTTATGGGTAAATCAGCTGGTGGAGATGGTAATCTAGCTACTGGAGATGGTATAGAATCTGCCACCATCTCCAGATCTATCCAAACCTCCCTCACGGACCTCTCAAAGATCGGACAACGCGTGTACACGACCTCGACCGGAACCCAGATGACCCCTGAGACCCGGCGCATTAAACCGGTTTCCACCGCAACAACAACAGAAACAAGTACTGATCTGAGCAGTACTCCTCTCCACCATATTGAGGCTAATATTGTGAACGTTAAGGTGGTGGCACCAAGCTCCGAGGATTCTAGTATACCAAGCAGTTATGAAAAGGTAAACAAAAATATTTATGGGGATTAAATTTTAATACAGGGGGACTCATAAAACTATGAAATAGGAAGACGACTTTTTGTCTTGATTTTTGTAAGTCCAATAAACACGAAACTCAGAACAGAGTTTAAGTTGAGTTTTAAGTTTCTGGTTCAACTGAATTTTATCTTGTTTCTTAAAATTATAGAAATAAGCTTCATATTTGATTCTCTGAATTCATAAGTATATTTTTCAAAAGCTTTTTTTTTGGGAAGTTCTCCCAACCCCTCCCCCTATATCTTTCCTTTGCAAAACATATTTAGTCCTGAAAAACAAGTCATTTTTGACGAAAGTATTTCTTTAAAATTTATATTAAAACATTTTTTAATTGGTAATTTTTTAAGGATTTTAAGATGAAGAAGTTTAGTTCAAGAGGGAAGGAAAATATAGAAATAATTCCATCTCCTCCAATTCAAGGTAGGAATAGGGATAGTTTGTTTGGTCGGCAATGTGATTGGTTGATTGGTTTGTTAGGTTATTTATGTGCTTGGTTTGATGTTTGTTAGGTTACTGATGTGTTTGGTGGGTGGATTGGTTGTTGAGCTATCTATAGTGCTTAGTTGTTTTAAATCATCTATGTTGTTGGTTTTTTGATTTTCTATGTGATTAGTTCTTAAATCATCTATGTGCTTGGTTGTTTTATTAGTTGTTAAGTTATAAATGTAGTTGGTTGGATAATTGGTTGTTATTTATGTGCTTTGTTGGTTGATGTTGCTTCAACGTTTTCATAAAACGTTTGTTAACATTTTTCAAAATTGTTCTTTGTTTTAGATGTTGAGACTGATTTAAACCTTGATGATATTCCTGCATTGAAACAGGTTTCTGGTCCTCTTATCCGTCCCAGGGAACACTACAGGTTCAACCAGTTCAATTTATAATATTATTGTATATACAACTTGGATTTAAACCTTGATGATATTCCTGCATTGAAACAGGTTTCTCTAGGTCCTCTTATCCGTCCCAGGGAACACTACAGGTTCAACCAGTTCAATTATTATTGTATATACAACTTGGATTTAAACCTTGATGATATTCCTGCATTGAAACAGGTTTCTCTAGGTCCTCTTATCCGTCCCAGGGAACACTACAGGTTCAACCAGTTCAATTTATAATATTATTTTATATACAACTTGGATTTAAACCTTGATGATATTCCTGCATTGAAACAGGTTTCTATAGGTCCTCTTATCCGTCCCAGGGAACATTACAGGTTCAAATAGTTCAATTTATAATATTATTGTATATACGACTTGGATTTAAACCTTTATGATATTCCTGCATTGAAACAGGTTTCTCTAGGTTCTCGTATCCGTCCCAGGGAACATTACAGGTTCAAATAGTTCAATTTATAATATTATTATTGTATATACAACTTGGATTTAAACCTTGATGATATTCCTGCATTGAAACAGGTTTCTCTAGGTCCTCTTATCCGTCCTAGGGAACACTACAGGTTCAATCAGTAGAATTAATGAAATTATTAAAACATATTAAACTCGAAGTTGAGTATTTTCTCAACTTAACACACAGAATTAGACTTAAAGGAATTGGTTTCAGTGCTTTTTTCTCTAAATTCTTGGTCCTAAGCAGATTTTCTAGTTTTTCAAAAATCTCTACTATTTTCAAGACATAAACATAAACCTTCAGACATCAACGTTGAAAGAGTTCTAGGTCCAATAGATTTATAACTTTGGTTTATCCTATATCCCCCTGTAATTTTTACAATTTTTACAATTGCTTCCATTTAAATAAGGATTTTTATTAAAATCCTATGTTTCGTTTGATGTATATTTATAACTTTTAATAAAATACAGAATTTCTTTCTTTTATTTATTTTATTTTAGGGGGCGTCGAGGTGCAATAGTTGAGAAGCTGTCCCCTAAAGGAGGAATTGAAGAGGGAGATACGACGTCATCCTAGGGGGTCGTTGACTACTCCCCCTCCCCCTCACGTCATCCTAAGGGGTCGTGGCCTACTGCCCCCCCCCCTCCCTCCCACTTCATATTTCTCAAATCTACTGTTTACATAATACTCAAAAACCCTTAAAAGTAAATTTGTCAGGATCAGCTGAAAACCGACCAAGGGGTCAAAAAAATGTTTATCAATCAACAAAAAAGTATTAATTGTCTTGGTAAAAATAATATTGAGGAAAAAATTGAATATATAACGTACCTTCATTTTAGAGTATAAAAGAGACATACTATATATATATATACTATACTATATATACTATACTATATATACTATACTATATATACTATATATATATACTATATATATATACCATACTATATATACTATATATATATACTATACTATATAAAAGGATGCTTCTCTTCTGATATTTTCGCATATGGTATTTAGTTAAACATCTACGGAATATGTGGACAGATGGAATCGTAATTTTGACACCAAAATATTTTTCAATGACTTTTAAAGCTACAAAAGCTATGAATGTGTAGTGTTATTAAAATAAGTTAACATTTTATGTCGTCTTCAATACTTTAGAGATTTAGTAAGAAAATACATCTAAAAAAAGTTGTTCTGTATTTTGTTGCTAATTTGTGATATTTCGGGCATTTTTTTAATCAATCAATATTTTCCATCAGTATTTTGCCCCCCAAACATTTAAAAAATGCGCAATTTAATTTGTCTTCCAATTTTAAAATGAAACCCTTGAACGGTGAATTGTCTTCCTAATTATACATGAAACAAACATACACTCAGTATTTTCGTAATTTCAATTTGTTGTTTTTTACTTTTGCAAAATTTGTATCGTTTACAGTAAATAAATTTGTAATGGCTAAATTAACCTTGAAATTTATAATTCCAAAAGAACCACACTTGAAAGATGAATGCATGGCGCATGCGTCTTGTACATATATTTAATAAAAGAGCAGTTTTATTAAAATACATCAAATGTTAGCATTTAAAGGGACTGTAACGCGGCTAGAACAGGCTGAGGGACGAGCGCTACGGCTAGGACAGACTGGAAGTTGCCGCTTGGGAAATTTTACATTTGGGAAGTTGTCACTTGGTTAAATACTCTAGTGAAGTTACCACTTGGGAAAAATCCTTTGGGAAATTACCTAACATCATCATTTCTGGTTTAATTCTTTGGTATCAGGGAAACCCTTGAGTTCTGGTTCAGTATTATAGTATCTGGGATACCCTAGATTTCTGGTTTAGTTCTAAAGTATCTGAGATACCCTGGATTGCTGGCTTAGTTATTTAGTATCTGGGATAATCTGGATTTCTTGATTAGTACCTCAGTATCTGGGGTACCCAGTAGTTCTGGTTTTGTTCTGAAGTATCTGGGATACCCTAGATTTCTGGTTCAGTATTATAGTATCTGGGATACATTAGAATTCCGGTTTAGTAATTTAGTATCTGGGGTACACTATGGATTTCTAGTTAAGTAATCGTATCTGGGATACCCCATGAATTTCTGGTTAAGTACTATAGTATCTGGGATACCTTGGATTTCTGGTTAGGTTCCTTAGTATCTGGGATACACTAGATTTCTGGTCGTGTTCTATAGTATCTGGGATACCCCATGAATTTCTGGTTAAGTACTATAGTATCTGGAATACCTTGGATTTCTGGTTAGGTTCCATAGTATCTGGGATACACTAGATTTCTGGTTGTGTACTATAGTATCTGGGATACCTTGTGGATTTCTGGTTGTGTTCTATAGTATCTCGGATACCCTGTGGATTTCTGGTTGTGTACTATAGTATCTGGGATACCCTGTGGATTTCTGGTTGTGTACTATAGTATCGGGGATACCCCTGTGGATTTCTGGTTGTGTTCTATAGTATCTGGGATACCCTGTGGATTTCTGGTTGTGTACTATAGTATCGGGGATACCCTGTGGATTTCTGGTTGTGTTCTATAGTATCTGGGATACCCTGTGGATTTCTGGTTGTGTACTATAGTATCGGGGATATCCCTGTGGATTTCTGGTTGTGTTCTATAGTATCGGGGATACCCCTTTGGATTTCTGGTTGTGTACTATAGTATCTTTGATACTCTAGATTTCTGGTTTAGTTCTGTAATTATTTTCAAAAAAAGTTTTTTATAATATAATTTTTTACAAAACGAGTAAAAAAGCCTTACAAATTTCTATTAGAAAATTGACTCATTTGCCGTCAATTCATTGATATTTATGTGAAAAACGTAAAAAAATCACACAACCTCGATTTTTGTTAGCTGTTTTTCAAAGTGGATTTACGAGCGGCTATATTTCTTGACAGCTATAAGCAATTGTAACCTGGATCCGAAGTTAGAAATAAATACTACAAACATTTCCACTGGTAACCAGGCTAATTATTTGTATTGCAGGAAAAATACGAGTTATCAGAATTAAATACTTTTAAACTTGAGACACGAGAATATTTTCCAAATCAGATGAAGGGTTCAGGGGTACCTTTGTGAATCTTATCAATTGTGTTCATAAATGTTTTTTTGTCGTGATAACTCTAAAGGGTAACTCAAAGGCGGATTAGAGGGGGGTGCCAGGTGCCTGGGCCCTCGGGCCCCAACCCTGTGCGCTTACGCGCGCTATTATGGGCCCCCCTGAGATAATGGTTAAATCCACCCCTGTAAGGATACTACCTAATATAGGGCCTAGGCTATTAATCTTTATAAAACTACTTGATTATTTAAGACATACTGTATTTAATTTGTGTGCTGAGTTGGTTTGCTAAATCTTGATATTTGCGAATATATTGCAAGGTTTGCATGCTTTAAAGTTTGCACGAAATCGTTCAGCAAACCCTCGTCATTCAGCGCAGATTATAAACTCTAGGATAAATTCTGCAAAAAGCTTCCAAACATCTCTCACGAAAATTTAACTATTTATGTATCTGGTCAAAGATTGGGGAGATATCTTGAGGTTTAAAGGGACTGTAAGCGTATTTAAAGTGACCCTCCATGCAAAGATCGCAATGGCCGATTCACATCAGCACCCTTTACACCTCTGGTCAAAATTGTGGAGGATATCATCGATAAGTGTTTATTTGGTACCAGTACAAACGTCGGACTAATGAAAAAAAATTATTCTAATTTTAAAATAAAAAATTTATCGACTGGCGTAAGAAAAATCTACCCAAAGGAACTAAAATATTTTAATCCCTATATCTTTGCAACCTGGTAATGGTATTAACCTTTGATACTTTCAAACTTGAGCTGTTTGATCTTATAGATTTCAAAGATTAAAATATTAAAGGTTATTCGACATCGGGTTGCAAAGATATAGGCATTGGAACATCAGAGTTAAACTAAACTCATTTTTGGTCTGTTGTCTTGATTTTTATCACAAAAAGTGAGTGACTTTTAATTTATTTCTGATAGCAATGGTCTTTTTTTTCAAACTCACAAAAGTCCGTCGTTTTACCTTAGAAATGTACCCGTCCGATGTTTGTACTAGTCCGACGTTTGTATCAGTCTTACATTTGTACCAGTCCGACGTTTGTAAGTCTGACGTTTTAACTGGGCGACCTTTGTAACGTCCGACGTTTGTACTGTCCGACCTTTGTAACGTCCGAAGTTTGTGGTGATACCGTTTATTTCTGTGCATTTCTCTATGGTTTCTTTAAAGCGCACGTCATTTTTGCAGAGAAACAACAAATGAAAATAAACAAAAACATAAATTTCTAATTCATACTTGATCAGACAAATTTTTTTAAGGGTTCCGTTGTACATCGGACATTGTGTCACTCTAACCTTTGCATAGAGGGTCACTTTATACTCCCTTGGAGTTCCTGTTAGATTCCTTGCTGCTTTAAATCCAGCCAGGACAAACCTGGTTAGTCGGGATCCTAGATAAACTGGTAAGTCGGGACCCTAGATAAACTGGTTAGTCAGGACCCTAGATAAACTGGTTAGTTGGGTCCCTAGATAAACTGGTTAGTCGGGACCCTAGATAAACTGGTTAGTCGGGACCCTAGATAAACTGGTTAGTCGGGTCCCTAGATAAAATGGTTAGTCGGGACCCTAGATAAAGTTCAGGGGTTAAACCAATTCAAAGTGGTTGAGAAAGGAAAATAGTGTGATATAACTATAGATTATCAATATATGCGAAGCAGAATAAACTTTTGCATTGTTATAAATTTATACCTTTGTTCTGATTCAACTCAGAGAATAAAACAAAATTATTCAAAATCTTCATAATTTTTATATTTTTTTTAAAAATGTCTTATATTTTTTAGTTTATTTTTATTACTTCATGTTTAGTTTTTAATTTGCTGAGTAGTGAGTCCGTATATGATAATTTTCTTGAAACATTTTTGGTTCGAAAATTAAGGTGTTGCCCATTTCATAACAGTTGTCCTGTCTATTAAATGTCCATGTCTATGAAATGACCTGTCTATGAAATGTCCTGTCTGTGAAATGTCAATGTCTATGAAACGACCTGTCTATGAAATGTCCTGTCTATGGAATGTCCTGTCTATGAAATGTATTCCTATGAAATGTCAATATCTATGAAATGTCAATGTCTATGAAATGGCTTGTCTATGAAATCTCCTATCTATAAAATGTATTCCTATGAAATGTCACGACAGGCCAAAATTAAAACGTATTCAATATTCATGAACTTTATTTCCATGCACTCTCTGCTTTTGCTTTGCATTACGGGGGGTCTTTGAAAAAAAACTAGCTATTCTGACGTAATTTAAAGTAATCATGCAATTTAAAATACCAGAAACGATTCACAACGGTACCTTTTAAATCTTTGTATAAAGCCTTGTTTTTCTGTTCGGACCACAAGGATTTTCTTAATTACTACTTTAAGTTGTGATCATTATTTCGAAAGTTTAGGAATAATATAATTATGCGAATCTTTGTTGAACATTAAAGGGAGAGTTCGCGAAAAATTAAAGGGGGTATAGGCTTAATGCGATAAAAAAGCGCTTTTGATCGCTAATAATCTTACTTCTATCTGTTGCGTCTATAAGGAGAAACTTGTTAAAGACGTCTCATACCGATTAACTTAGCGCCCATACAAATTGAGAAAATTGCAGCATACGACTTTGACCGTAAAAAATCAATTTAATTTCCAACAAATCACTCAGATATTACAACCTATAGTCATCGATTATCTTTCGCCAAATTTGTATAAAGTTTATATTTTATAATATTTTTTAATTAATTTGTTTTGAATTTGATTATTTCTCTTGCAGCTTGCGCAACTATCTAAGAATGCTGGCGACCTCTCACATTTTTCGAAATCAGTTAAAACGTTTTCTAAAAATATAAAATATTATAAAATATAAACTATATACAAATGTGGCGAAAGATAATCGATGACTATATAGGTTGTACTATCTGAATGATTTGTTTGAAATTAAATGGATTTTTATGGTCTAAGTCATATGTTGCAATTTTCTGAATTTGTATGGGCGCTAACCGTTAAATGTTTAAAATAAGTTATATTTTAAAAATAGACAATTTCAAAATAATTTTTAAAAAAAACTTAAGATTTCTTTTTAAATCTATGACAATGACAATAAATAAAATAAATAAATAAATCGGCTTTTACTCAGGCCACCGTTGTTCTTGAAAAGTAAGACAAATACTAATGAATAGCTAATAGGCTATTCCGTTTACCCTCAAATTATCCAAATAAGTGAGAAAAAAAATTAAATAATGTCTTCAAACCTCCAAACATTTTTTTTTCTAATTTAAATTATAATTTAGGAAAAATAAACAAATTAAAAAGGGAACAAGTAAAATTTCCGTAAAAAAAATCCCGCCATATTTGTTATCTTCGACTGATGCACCCCGTTGCATGAGATTTGTATTTTGATATAAAATGTGTATAATACGGATTTAAATATTTTCCATTGATCGCTCAGTCCAGATCTGGTCTTGTACGAGGTAACATAGAAAATTTACTTTTCAGTTTCACGAACATATATTGTGTTCGAAATATCGAAAACGTTGTCTGTTTCTTTGTATGTTTGATATTCAAACTTGTGAGCCCCCTGACTCCCCTGACCGATTTTCCTCAAATTTTGTATGTGGAACTCTGTATTACGGGAATGTTTTTAGCTTGGTTTAAACGTTTTAAATAAATTGTGTTGATATTTCAACTTAAATTATTTTATCTGACAAAATTCATGTATTTCAGAATTACCTATCATTTTGATACGCATAGAGAAAGCAGTTTTTCATAATGGAACACATTGATATTTTACAGGATCTAATAAACTTTTTCTGTGTAGGAATTTGAAAAGGGATTCAATATATATAATTCTTACAAGAGTTTCCAAACGAATTGATTCCCACTTATCATTCAAGACAAAAAATGTTAAATATTTAAATATATATGTTGTTATTAACAGAAGTAAAAAATTAATATTAAATATATAATTTTTTTAGGGATAGATTGTTTGAATAGTTTCCCTTGTATAAATCTGTAAATATGATCAAATACATAATTGTAATGGTAAGCTAAGTAGTTTTAACTTTTTTACATTTTTTATATTTTTTTATTTTTTTATTTCAATATTTCTATATTTTGATCTTCAATTCAATATTTCTATACATCATTGGTCTATATTTCTATATTTCTTTATTTCTTTATTTCAATACTTCTATAAATATTTTTAAATTTCATATTTCTATATTTCAATGTTTCTATATTTCTATATTTCTATAATTCTATATTCCTATTTTTCTATATTTGTATATTTTCAATATTTTCATTTTTCAATATTTAAATTTTTCAATATTTAAATTTTTCAATATTTAAATTTTTCAATATTTAAATTTTTCAATATTTAAATTTTTGATATTACAATATTACAGCTCTGTTTATCTGCATATAGCTTCCAGAAGATAGTTGAAAAGGAACAGGTAGTTAGAAATTATAGTTGAAAAAGAAACAGGTAGTTAGAAATTATAGTTGAAAAAGAAACGGGTAGTTAGAAATTATAGTTGAAAAAGAAACAGGTAGTTAGAAATTATAGTTGAAAAGTTTACAAAATTTTGTTCCAATACTCTCATTTTTTTATCTAAAAACTATGTTGGATATTTTCCGACGGAGATTGCAATATTAATCTATTATATTCTTGGAGAGATTGCAATATTAAACGAATATTTTCTTAGAGAGATTGCAATATCACATTAAAATTTTCCTAGGGAGGTCATGCAATATTAATCCAATATTTTCCTAAGGAAGTTGTAATATTAAACTAATATTTTGCTAGGGAGATTACAAGGTTAGTCTAATATTTTCGTAGGGACATTGCAACTTCAATCTAATTTTTTCCTATGGAGATTGCAATATTAATCTTACATTTTTCTAGGGAGATTGCAATACTAAACTAAAATTTTCATTGAGAGATTGCAAGATTAATTTAATATTTTTCTAGGAGATTGTATTATTACACAAAAATTTTCCTAGGGAGATTGCAATATATTAATCCAATATTGTCCTAGGGAGATTGCAATATCAATTGAATATTTTCCTAGGGGATTCCAACTTTAATCTAATATTTTCCTAAGGAGATTGCAACTATTATCTAATATTTTCTTATGGAGATTGCAACTTAAATATAATATTTTCCTTTGCAGATTGCAACTTTAACATAATATTTTCCTTTAGAATTGCAACTTTAATAAAATATTTTCCTATGGAGATTGCAACTTTAATCTAATATTTTCCAAAGTAGATTGCAACTATAATCTAGGAATTTCCTAGGGAGATTGCAACTTTAATATAATATTTTCCTAGGGAGATTGCAATATTGTGGATAAACGTGTGTGTGACGGAACTGTAGCAAAGGTAAAGTATGGCGTCCTCTAAACAAGAGTACCATTAAAAGCTTTGTCTATGTTCGAGAAAAAAATAATAATGTTTATAATTTTGAAAACTGATTATTTTTATGGGTTCTTTACAATTTAAATTACAAATGTGACTTGTGCATTTCTACTGTATGGGAAGACATAACGGATTAATCTAAATAAATAACTTTAAAACCTTGAAAGCAGGACATTATCTTCAACATTATTAAATTAATTGATCAAGGGCACAGTCGTGAATCCAGCATTGTCTTATTTGCAGGAATGGGTCACTTTAAATCACGCTAACAGTCCCGTTAAAAAAAAATATTTTAATTCTGCATTCAAGCATTAATTTTTTCATAATATGTATAAAGGTTAGACCGGATGGGACCTCGATTGTTTGCAAGGGTGGAAAATTTCAGGTAAAATTTATTTTTTTTTTAATTCAAAATTTTCAAATCCGTTTACTTTGTAAATCTTAAACATGCAGTAAAAACCAAAAAACTGTGGACTACGAAGACGACGTTTTAGCAATTTTTAAGTGTAATTTTGATGTTGTTAAAAAGTGAATAAATTCTTTATTAAGTGAAAAGGGGTTGAGTACCTGCACAAACACTGTGTTATGTTAATTGGACTATATAAGGGGTGTCCAAATAAACATTGAAATTAAGAGACGAATTTGAAGTCGTATTTATTAAATCTGAAAAGTGTTTTAAAAAATGGAAAATTGAGTGAGTCACAACTAAAAAAAACTCATCAAATACGTTAAAAAGTTATAAAACTGGATTTTAGTACCATTATTTGGCCATAACTTCTTTAAATTTTAATATATTTAAAAATGGTTTTCGAATCTGAAATCAGCATGAAATTTCCAAGAAAATGATGTATCATACTTATTTTTGGAAATATTTTTTTAGGCCTTGCGGAAAATTTTCCAATATTAAATTGTCAATTCGCAACCCTATGGGCGATTTTGAATTTTTTTATTACAATATTTATATTAATTTAAAACGCAGCGACCTCAGGTGGGCGGCTGGCTGAGTTCTAAAAAAAAGTCACAAATCAATCACCCTTAACGTCCAGCATACATTTACAAGAAAGGAAAACACTCCTAATTTTCAAATCATCAATCAGATAAAGGTATACACGTTATCATTGGGAATCGAGCATGGCCCTCTTTTAATGGAGGATCACTTGAAATTATCATCGTGTATTTGACGAGCTTAAAAATAGATATGTTTTGGGACACTTCATAAAATGAGTTAAAATTCGGCAAGGCAAACCACTTTTGTATGTGGAACAGTAGTTCTAAATTATTTTAGATTAGTTTAGGGCTATTTTTTTCTTTTTTACGCAATGCAGACTGACCCTTTTCTTCGATCTAACAGAATTCATAATCTAAGGCCCACAACATTTGGTAGCAAAGATATCCGGATTAGAAATATAAGTTTGTGAACAACTCAGTTTATTTAGACATTCTTATCTAACAGAAGTCATAGCTTGAAATATCAAAAGTCTACAACACCAGCTTGCAAAGATGTAGAGATTAGAAAAATATAATTTGTGGCGAATTTTTAGTTCTTTTTGTGTTTTTTTTTTATGTTACTTACAAAGTGAGTAAAAAAGCGGCATTAGCTTTAGTTTACAAACCACAATGAAAATGTTTTCAGAGTTCATGTTTGGGGTTAAAATATATAAAATATAGTAAGACAAGTGCTAAATTTATTTTAACACAAACCACGCGAAATAAAATTATTTAACATTTTTTTTTTTTAAATCGATTAAAAAATCAGATTTTTTTCTAAAGTTTCAAAAAAATCTATTGATGAATAAAACATAACACGCATTTTCCATTTGATAAAATATTGTTGCATTTTAGTAAGTATCTACAATTCTAAATTTTTCAACCTAAAAATGAACCATGCCAACTGAAGTTATGATTTCAAGTAGTCAAATAAACATGAAACCCAGCAATTGTGTTTGTTCACAGACTCGTTCCACTTAATAAGTTAATGCATATGTAAAATTTCTTAATGTCGTCTTCCTTTTCAAGAGTTTTAGTGGGTTTCATCAAACAATGGCAAATCAAAAACCTTTAATGTCCAAGAAACATTTATAAGATTTGAATTTTCACTAATAGCATGTTACAAAAAAACTCGTTTACAATTAAATTTTTTTTTATTTACTAATCCCTATATCTTTCCAACCTGATGGTTTAAGCCTTGTATATTTCAATATTAATGGTCTATGACATCGGGTTGCAAAGATATATTAAATGAAAATTAGAGTTTTTGGCATAAACTCATTTTCTTTGAACTTGAAATGAAAAACCATAAGTCTTTGCTCTTATAATCATCAGTCGAATCTCTTAATTGATTTTGAAATGTTTTGATTGACAGAATTATTGTTACACTTTGAAATTAAAACTCAGCCCTCATAGTCTAACGTTTTATGAACAACATTTTCATCAGACATATATCTAACGTTAGACTAATCAATTTAGTATTCAGAGAAAAGTTATGAAACATGATTTACAGAATTACATTTTTTTAAATGTTATACGTTACATTATTGAAATTTATACTCTGTAAAAAAACTTTCGCTTCCTGATTATTAAAACAATAACCCACTTCTGCAACGTTGAATTTTTCATTATACTATAAGGAAGAACGTTTCAAAACGTTTTCATAAACATTAATGCATTTTTCAGTTATACAACGTTACACTTTTTATAAGTTGAACTTTGAAATATAAATCCTTTCGTTACGATATTCAATCAAATCACAATTCATTTTTCAAACGTTAGACTTTCAAGCTCCCCTTGGAAACAAAACATTTCTTTACGTTATGGTCGAAAAAGTTGTAGATATTAGAAAAATAACGTTACAATTCCACAAAACTCTAACGTTGGGGTTGGGGGTATATTCCTCTAACGTTAACGTTTAACGTTAACGTTAGGTATGAGCTCCTATAACGTGAACGTTTAACGTTCACGTTATATAGAATATATCGAAACGTTACACATTATTGTAACGTAACGAACAAAAACGTACATTTTACGTTACGTTACACTATCGTTGACATCTCTACAAGATAAACAGTAAAAAGAAACAACTATACTGTGATTGTGAACGGGAATTTCTTGTTTTACTAAGCACAACGTATGCAATCAAAACATAAACAAACAAATTTTTAACTCTAGCAGACGAAACATATGCGGATTACATCTTTCTCAGTAGGTATCACTATGCTAATTCAAAAATCCATTTACAAAGACGATATCAAAATCGTCACTTAATTCTCATGTTTATTGGGACACCCTGCGAAAGAAATTATAACTTGAGTTTAAAGTCGTCTAATTCAGTTTTCTGGTTCTCATGGTATTATATAAAATATTGGATCATCTTTAAACTTTAACGTCAAAATACGAACATGATGCCTAAATAACACCTTGCACCACATTTATTGTATTGTCCAAATTCTTAAGAAAATTAAATGTCAGTGAAGATTGTATACGAATTAACAAGATTACACTTAAATTGTTATAATTGCTCATGTCAAATAGATGAGAGGGAAAACGGGAATAGCTAATAACAATAAATCTTACTAAGCAGAGACATTTTTTTGATTCAACCCCCAACTNCCCGCCGTTCCACAAACCTGCAATGTAATGTTTTTGCCTTGTTGAAATGGTTTGATTTTCCAAGAATTTTAGGCAGTCTGATTTCACTGCACCAATACAAATATTAAATAAGAATTATATTTGTATATCATTCGTTCCTATGTATTGTAATTTCAGGGTTAGTATACAAAAAGAGTACCAAAAAACTGTTGAATTAGTGTCGTCGTTGTTCAATTATTTTACTATGGTTTTTTGTAACTTACAGTTGTGAAATTAAAAGTCAGAAACTTGTGTTTCAATAATACTGATATAATTTGTTATTAGATAAATCTAACAAAAACTTACAGTAGTTACCAGAAAACTTTGGAATAGGAAGACGACTTAAGGACACAAAGTACGACTTTAAAATGTCCAATGAACATGAGACACAGCAACTGTTCAGTTTAAACCGATCCATTTCACTCAATAGGTGATTTAATAAGTTACTAGTGAAACTGTTTTGTTACAACATCAAATACAATTAATTATTGTCATCTTACTATTCCAAACTTTTCTGTTGCTCACTGTAAAAAAGCTAAAATTTATAATATAAAATTTTGAAATTTTAACGCAAAGAATACTAACCTTTTACCCAACCATTTTAAGGTAAATCCAGTAACTACTGAGTTTCACCGATTTCTTTATATATTTTCCCACATTATTACATCTATGTTAAGGAAGACGACATTATTCCTCAGTTTTCTGGTTTTCAATGTAGATTATCTGTTCGGTGATTAAACGTAATATTAGGCTTCACCTGCTAAAGGAAGAGTTGGTAAAAAGCTCGGAGGAGACGGAGAGAGCGGAGGTATCATTCCCTTTAATATATTTATTTCATAGATTTTTCATTAGTTTTAATTATTTATTTCAGATTCAGTATTCAATTTTTGTAATTTTGAATTTTTGTATTCTTTTAATAACTATCAAATTATATAATGTTTTTGTATTTTGAATTTTTTTAGTCTAATAACTATAAAATTTTATAATGTTTATAAATTATTTAATCCATAATATTTTGAAATTTTTGTTTCATTAAATGAACATAGTTTTAAGTTAATCTAAATGTTAAAAAGTTACATGACCATATTCACAAAGTTACCCTTCAAACCTTTGTCTTCAGGATCTTTTCAATGCTGTAAATTGATGTAATTAATATTTTTTTACAGAATGGATATCTTCCTCATTGTTACTCAGTAAAGCCTAACGTGTTTGATTCTTTCATGTAACTATTTAAATTTGAGGTTCAATTATAGTTACGTAAACTGTCCCTTTAAGATTGTGAATGGTACGGCCAAGTGTACTGTGATGGTGATGTCGTTGAGGTAAATATACATAGATTAATTACAATAACAGATAGAGCACTAGATGTCGTCTTTTCAAGATTTAGGGATTTTTCGTTCACATTAACCCTGAGGCAGAAGTCCAAAGTAGTTACGCGAAGTCTGCGTAAAGCAGGCTCTCTCTGTTTTGAAAATCTACGCGAAGTGTGCGTAAAGCATGCTCTCTCTGTGTTGTAAATCTACGCCGACTGCGTGAAAAGAAAGAGTTTAAGGTCGTCATTAAAGTCTCATCCTTGGTGGGAAACCCTGTATATTTGTTTTTAAATATATCAAATGATATTAAAACTAAAAATTAAAAATTAAATTTGTAAAATAAACTCTTTTTAAGGATTTGTTTATTTGGAAACACCAAGTGAAATGTGCTCAGGGGAAAATGTTTATCTATCACAGGTAATAGTAATAAACGATCAGTAGTTGAACTGTTTAGACATAGTTAAACCACATATCTTGTGCGCAAGTTTTGAAGATAAATAGTTCAAATATATTCTATAGGTTTTATAATACTTTTCTCGTTTGTCCGTTTATACCAAGTAAATTCTCAAAATTACAAAAATTTGTCTTCAAATATTTAGATTTTTTGCAAAATTTTGAAAATCGACAAAAAAATGTTATTAAATCTGCAAACTTTTTTGTTATTATTTTATAATATACCAAGAGAAGATGCTAACAGAAATGTCCACTTTTTTTCTTTTCCTTTAGATCATTGCAAGAAGTTGAATCAGATCCCAGGTTTCAGGTCTAGAAATTTTTTTTAATTTCAAAGTTCAAGTAGAATTTTTAAAATGGAATCGAGTCTTTGTCACAAATCTGATTTTCTAATCCTTTAATCTGTTCAACCCAATATCGTAGACCTTAGATATTTCAAACTATGAAACTTGTTGGATCAAATGTTTTAAGTTTGAAATATCTGCGTTGTACGACAACTGGTTGCAGAGATATTGGGAATTAAAAATGAGAGTTAGTGGCAGAGACTCAATTTCTTTATTGATTTATATTTATTTTGTTTATACAGCAACAAAAGTGAAATTAACTGCTTTACAATTTTATTTTGTAATCCCGTCGTAATACTTTGATATTTCAAATTATGAATTCTGTTGGATCAGTTTTTTTTGAAAATAAAAGGTTTACAAAGGGTGCAAGAGTAGAGATAAAACAGCTCATTTGTATTTCCAGCTATTTACTTTTTAGATTTAACCAAGTACATCGGAGAGATCTAACGAATTTATAAATGTCGTCTTGACAATTTTTCAATGTTTTTTCACTATTATACCATTACCTACATCTTAATAATTTCAAAACTAAATATACATTCCATTATCAGTAAGTTAATATATTTTATATATTCTTTTGATGTCTCCGAAGTACGTACTGGGTTACACTATAACAAAGTTGTCAACTTTTAAATCATAAATTTAACTAAATCAAATCTAATAAGTTGTTCCTAATCTCTCATAAGCCAAACCTTTGTAAAACAGAAATTCGGTTCTTTGTATCAAAACATTAATTAGAGCTTTTGATGATTTCGTTTAGAAAAAAACTTAAAATATTTATTTTAATTTTATTTTCAACAGGAACTTCTGAAGACCAGAGAAACCGAAGAAACTTCTTTAGAAAAATAAAATAATAAAAAATGTAATTAAAATTAAATTTTTTCTTAGAAATTTTTAATTGAACTTTGGCTCTAAAAGGAGAGGAGATTGAACCTCATTTACAAACTCGAAGACTTTTTAATGTTTTGATTTTCATTAAATAATCAAAAAAAGTCGAGATTATTTGTGGTATTGTTTTTGTTAAAGATATGTTGGAAAATAGCGCTAATAATAATATTATGATACTAATATCAAAACATAAAATCTTAATGAGATATCATATATTTTATTGAAAAATAAATTACGTTACATTTACATTTTACATTTATAAGGTTAAATATACATAACCCCGAATGGTTTGGTTTGGCAATTTATGTTTTTTTACCCAGGAGCTCCTAAAAACATTGGACTCCGAGATCAACTTTCTTAAAAATTTAATTATTAAAATCTCGACATTTTAAAACAAAAAAATTAAGAACAACAAGGTACGTTAGTTTGCCATTTTTTCTCTGGCGGATTTGTAATGAAGAAGACGACATTACAATTACATATCACGGTAAAATATTATGATGATGGCAACCAGACAGATCACGGTATACAAGCTCAAAGCCAACCTAAATTATCAAACATTAGATACAAAAGTTCATCTACAAACTTCTCAGTGGTTTAACTTAGATAAATCTGATTTCAAGTTGCAAAGATATAATGATTAAAAGATTCTATCATTTCTTAAACATCAAATCTTACCACCAAAGCCATCGTTCCCAAAGCCTTTGCTTGAAGTTTTTAAGGACCACAAGCCCCACAGTGGCACCAGCTACACAGCCCCAAATATGGGCCAAATAGGAAACCTTGAAAAGGAAAGCATTTAAAAAAGAAATTTGTATGACAACTGACGTTAGTATTTTAATAGAAACTTATATTATTTGTAAAGTTGTCGATTTTCCAATAATTGGAAAAAATCATATTTTTCTCAACCCAGGGTTTTCCAAAATGTGGTCCGTCTGTATTTCAGGATCTTCAAAATGTTTAGAATTCAAAGTTTTACAATTGAATTAAGTGTCAAATGGCCATTTTTTTCATATTTTTTTAAAATATAAAGTTTACTTTATGAAAGTTTATAGTTTTACTGATTTTTTTTTCAAATCAAATCGAATCAAAATTTTAGATAGATTTCAAGATTTCATGATATCCAAGTTTATTTGCATAGTTTACTATAAAAATTATTAATCTTTAAATAAATTTACTTAAAAAATAATAAATGATTGAATAGTTCACCTGAACATCATCGGCATATCTACCATATACAGCTACACCGACCTGGGAATAATAAAACATTAAAGGGACTGTACAAGCGTAATTTTAAATGACCCCCCATGCAAAGATTGCAATGTCCGATTCACAACAGTACCCTATAAAACTGTACCTCTCAAAAGCTTTGTCTGAACAATTATGAATTAAATATTAATAATAAATTTATTCAATTTTAGACCTAGAAAAACGACAATATCTCCCATGAACATTATTGATTAGTTGAAGGTTTAAAGGATACTGTTGTGAATCGGGCATTGCATGAAGGGTCACCACTTTAATAATAATAAAATTCACAAATTCACTTTTAGTATTTATATTTAACTAAAATGGACTATTGGGCTTTTATCTTGATCTGATTATCCATGAAGATAATAAAGTTGTTTCTTTTCTTAATAACTAGCTATTTATAACACTGTTATTTTGGTTCGCAGTGTTATAAAGTTTTTGGACAGAAATTTTAAGTCCAAAAACGTCGTGCCAACATAATAGTTTTATAGGTAATTTTTTGAAACAGTTGTGTACTTGTCTTATTTCAATAGCTATTTCTAGATGAAATAAGCTTTAAAAACAAAGCAGAAGTCAAAATATAAAGTTGATTTTAATTTTATTTTCATTTCAATTGAAATTTTTTTTTGGAAATATCGTAAATTTTTGAAAGAAAATCCGGGAACCAATCAATACTTTATAGCACACGTGGTATAATGTACAGCTAATTTAACTTATAGCACGATAATTATTTTATAGCACGGTCATTATGAAATTCACGATGAAGTGAGGAAGAATGGTAAAGTATACAATAGTTTCATAACATATATAAATTATGAAAGTTTGATTATTTAAATCTGCATCAATACACATAGAACACTATAGAAGAATAGCACCCTGAAGTCTAACATCATGGATTAATAACGATACAGATAGAACACTATATGTCGTCTTTTCAATATTTAAGGGGTTTATCGTTCAAAATAACCCTGTGGCAGAAGCCCAAAGTAGTTACGCGTATGCCGTATTGAATTACAATAACTCCTTAATTGTGAAAAGACGACATCTAGTGTTTTATCTGTATTGGTATTAATCTAAAGTATCAAAGTTTAATTAAAATTTTCATTTTAAGAAAAAAGGGAGAATAAAGAAATATTTTTTTTTTTTAATTTAAAAACTCTAAAACTAACCTCCACCGAGGCCACGAATATCAAAGCTATTAGCCTCATTATACCATAATCCATAGAGGTGTAGTTTAATAACAGGTTGGACATATGGGCAGATAAGAGGACGTACACTCCTCCTAGATAGATAGATAGATAGATAGATAGATAGATAGATAGATAGATAGATAGATAGATAGATAGATAGATAGATAGATAGATAGATAGATAGATAGTCTTTGAATTTATTTCTTCAAATTCTTCAAATGTTAATCTAATTAGATGACTAGGAACATATTTCTCAAAAGAAATTTGTTAATAAATCAATGCTAGAATCGATTATTTCGTTTTTATTATTATATTGAAATTATTAATTTCTTTGAATTTATTTCTTCAAATTCTTCAAATGTCGTCTTCTCAATAATAATTCTAGAAAATCTGCGGAAAATGGTGAATAATGAGAAACCAGAATAATAAGAAAAAAGAAACTAATAATTGAACAAGATAACTTATTTTTATTTTCTCAACATGTTCCTATACATGACGTCTATAGTTTATTGTAGAACTTTTTTACATTTTATGTCGTCGTTAATTAATAATTTAAAAAAATAATTTTGAAAACGTATCCAACCCCTAAAGTAGGAGTTTTGAACGTCGAATTTGCGCTCAAACTCAGGATTTAAAGATCGTTAAAAAGTTTTATATGTCTCAAATGAATCCGAAAGAAATTTTCCACAACACTGCATACTCAGTTCAACTACCTTACATAGCCGGTCACTCCCTTTAATCTGATCAATAATGTAGAAATTAACGTCGTTTCTCTGGCTAGAAAAGTGTTTATTTCTGATAATTTCTCCATTGTTTCTGTAGTAAGAATTGCACAAGTCAGTTTTGCAGAGAAACCATAATTAAATAATAAAAACATTCCTTCATTCGATAACAGACGAAGCTTTAACAGGTACTGCTGTGAATCGCACATGTAAATCTGTCAAATGGAGATTTGAGATTACGAATACACTCAGAAAGGACTTGAGTCTTTGTCACAAACTCAAATTTTCTAATCCTTATATCTTAGCAACTTGATGGTGCAAACCTTTGATATTTCAAACTTAGATTATTTGATCTACCAGAGTTCATGGTTGAAAAGATATAGGGATTAGAAAATTTGAGTTTGTGGCAAAGGCTCAAATCCTTTGGCTAGACTTCAGCAATTTTTGCAGACATAAGGTTCTGGGGTTGTTGATTGTTTATATGTAAATTTGACGTAAAAGGACAGATAAGAAACTATTATTGTAATCCTCGGAATCTAAAAAAATCGGAGTTTACCGTGGAAAATACATAAAATGACTTGTCACACCTCGTTTTCAAGCAATCGATTATTTTTTAAAGAACGTTTGTGATTTTAAAAACTTATTTTGTTATCCTTAACTTTGTTTTAAAACTATTTCGTTAATACAACTGTCTGAAATTAAAACAGTCATTTCTAAAAAAGTTTTTAAAATCGAATGCCATTCCTTTAAAAAAAACATTTATTGCTCAATAAAAAAGTCATAAAAAAGTTAAATCATTTTTCTACCTGAAGCTCCAACCAAACAGACTTCGGGATCAAGCAAACTTGAAGCCAATGATCCTAATTAAACAATATTAAAGGATTGATAAATTTGAAGCCAAGGATCCTAATAAACAATATTAAAGGATTGATAAATTTGAAGCCAAGGATCCTAATAAACAATATTAAAGGATTGATAAACTTGAAGCCAAGGATCCTAATTAAACAATATTAAAGGATTGATAAACTTGAAGCCAAGGATCCTAATTAAACAATATTAAAGGATTGATAAACTTGAAGCCAAGGATCCTAATTAAACAATATTAAAGGATTGATAAACTTGAAGCCAAGGATCCTAATTAAACAATATTAAAGGATTGATAAACTTGAAGCCAAGGATCCTAATTAAACAATATTAAAGGATTGATAAACTTGAAGCCAAGGATCCTAATTAAACAATATTAAAGGATTGATAAACTTGAAGCCAAGGATCCTAATTAAACAATATTAAAGGATTGATAAACTTGAAGCCAAGGATCCTAATTAAACAATATTAAAGGATTGATAAACTTGAAGCCAAGGATCCTAATTAAACAATATTAAAGGATTGATAAACTTGAAGCCAAGGATCCTAATTAAACAATATTAAAGGATTGATAAACTTGAAGCCAAGGATCCTAATTAAACAATATTAAAGGATTGATAAACTTGAAGCCAAGGATCCTAATTAAACAATATTAAAGGATTGATAAACTTGAAGCCAATGATCCTAACTAAACAATATTAAAGGATTGATAAACTTGAAGCCAAAGATCCTAATTAAACAATATTAAAGGTTTGATAAAGTTGAAGCCAAGGATCCTAATTAAACAATATTAAAGGATTGATAAACCTGAAGCCAAGGATCCTAATTAAACAATATTAAAGGATTTATAAACTTAAAAAATTAAAATTTAATTAAAAAAAGATTTTTGAATTCTGAAAGAATGTTCCTTTAAAGTAAAACATGCAACCCCCCTCTATACCTGCTAACACTCCTGACATATATATTGTTGCCACCCTCCCACTCCCATGAACCATCTCTAGGGGTAAACCAAGAACTAGTTGGATACCAAGGTTAAATATGAGATGCCACCTAAACATATTCTACATTCTCATTGGTCAAATATTACTGTGTAAACAAAATACTGTTTTTTTATTGATCAAATATTTCTGTGTAAACAAAATACTGTGTTCTCATTGGTCAAATAACACTGTGTAAACAAAATACTATTTTCTTATTGGTCAAATATCACTGTGTAAACAAAATACTATTTTCACATTGGTCAAATATCACTGTGTAAACAAAATACTGTTTTTTTTATTGGTCAAATATTTCTGTGTAAACAAAATACTGTTTTCTCATTGGTCAAATATCAATGTGTAAACTAAATACTATTTTCCTATTGTTCAAAGAACTTTTTGTAAACAATATACTGATTACTTATTTGTTAATAAATTGTTAAATAAACTAATGGTTTCTTATTGGAAAAATATGAAAAAGTGGTGAACAAAATACTATTTATCTATTATTATAAAATCTTAATGAACGACCATAAAATAAGCCTAAATGAACTATGGACCATAAAATTAACCTACCATAAAATAAACCTACCATGAACTATGGACCATAGAATAAACCTACAATAAACTTTGGATTATAGAATAAACCTAACATGAACTATAGACCATAGAATAAACCTACCATGAAATATAGACCATATAATAAACCTACCATGAATTGTAGATTATGAAATAAACCTACCATGAATTGTAGATCATAAAATAAATCTACCATGAACTGTGGACCATGAAATAAACCTACCATGAACTGTGAACCATAGAATAAACCTATCATGAACTGTGGACCATAAAATAAACCTACCATGAACTGTGGACCATGAAATAGGAAATATATCTCCAGAGTTCCACACTTCGCCCTGGACAATAGGCAAGTACACTGTCTAAAATATTAATAAAGTTCACGTAACGCTGAAGAACAGAAACTGGAACAAGGTTAGGAACCAGATTAAGAACAAGGTAAAGATGAAGATCAAGTTCAAAATAAAGATCAAAAAGGTCAAGTGTAAGAAAAAGATGAAGATGAAGATGCAGATGCAGATGAAGATGAAGATGAAGATGAAGATGAAGATGAAGATGAAGATGAAGATGAAGATTAAAATTAAAAACCTTTAAAAAACATTTTTAAAAATTTTGATCATTCATAAACCTTCCCTGTGGTCACGTGATGTCCCACAAAAAATTTGGGCCCGATCGGTTCAGCCGTTTTGACGTTTATTGGATAAAAACAAACATAAAGACAGACAAACACCCAGACAAGCCAAATTTATATATAGATATGTTAATTTGATTATATTTTCAATATTATACTATTATATGTTAATTTGATTATATGTTCAATATTAATTGATTATATATCTACCTATCTATTTGACCAATCATTTGTTCATAAATTTATTCGTTCATTTTTTGATATATATCTAATCATCTATTCATTCAGTTATTAGTTTATTTTACTTATTTTTTTATTGATTCGCTTTTATGGATTTTTTTATGAGCCCTAATATTTTTTCCCTCACTTTTTTATTCATTTCATTTTATTTTAAACCATTTTTTGGAGTTTTAAATGATTAGAAAATTGAAAAGCAAAATATGTATTCCTGTGTATCCAATAGTATATAAAAACTCCTAACTCTAAACCTAGAATTATAAAAATTAAAATATTTTTATACTCAGATATTAGATATTTGAGAGTAAATATGAGCGAAAAGAATGGGTGAAGGAATTGAGTCTTTGCCAGGAACTCCGATTTTCTTATCTCTATCTTTACAGTCCAATTTTGAATCCAGGAATTCTGTTAGTTCAAATAATAAGTTTTAAATATAAAATTTTTATTATCAGGTTGCAAAGAAATAGAAATTGGAAAATTTGAGTTTGTTGCAAAGACTCAATTATTTTGCTCAACAAAATCGTTTTTGTCCTTTAAGTTACCAGTTATCATAAGAATGAAGACAGGAGGCGGCCAGCATCTGAAAAAAAGAGAAAAAAAAAGTTAAGAGAGACTGTTAATGAAACGTGTTAAATTTAGGATCATATTGTGCTTTCCTTGGCAAATTTAATCTTTCGATGATTTTGAAAGACAGTGCAAAGTTTTGCACACAATGAAAAGTTTTGTATTAATATTATTCAAATGTACGAAACTGTTTTCGCAACAAAAAGCTAAGATTACTATAATAAGCTCCCGTAATCCTAGTACTCTAGCTCTATAAACTTTTAAATTGCATGCATGGCTGTGTACATATCGCATTATACCTGTACATATCACTGTAGTATTTTCTATCCCTAGGATCAGCTAACATTTCTTGGGACAGGAAACTTGTCATCTGACTAGATAGACCGACAGATAGACAGATAGATAGATAGATAGATAGATAGATAGATAGATAGATAGATAGATAGATAGACAGATAGATAGATAGATAGATAGATAGATAGATAGATAGATAGATAGATAGATAGATAGATAGATAGATAGATAGATAGATAGATAGATAGATAGATAGATAGATAGATAGATAGATAGATAGATAGATAGATAGATAGATAGATAGATAGATATGAGTCTGGTATCCAAGAAGAAAAGTTTCTAGACGAACTAAAAGGTGCACTCCAGCCGGAAATTCGGAATAAAATCTAAATAAAAGTCCCAAACCGGGAAATATTGGCAAACTTCAAACTTTTAAGAATATGTTAAATAAACAAGAAAATGGGAAAGCATAACTTTAAAGAGACTGTAAGCGAAATTTCAAGGGATTATTTATCTCCAAAAAATTGAATGTCCAATTCACAACTGTACCCTTTGTGCCATTCAAACCTTAATCTGCTCAATAATGTGGAAATTAACGTCGTTTATATAGATAGATAAATAGATAGATAGAGAGATAGAGAGATATAGAGATAGATAGATGGATAGATAGATAGATAGATAGATAGATAGACAGATAGATAAATAGTTAGATAGAGAGATAGATAGATAGATAGATAGATAGATAGATAGATAGATAGATAAATAGATAGATAGATAAATAGAGAGATATATAGATAGATAAATAGATAGATAGATAGATAGATAGATAGATAGATAGATAGATAGATAGATAGATAGATAGATAGATAGATAAATAGATAGATAGATAGATAGATAGATAGATAGATAGATAGATAGATAGATAGATAGATAGATAAATAGATAAATGGATAAATAGAGAGATTGGTAGATAAATAAGGTGGATAGAAAGATTTAAAGACAATTATATAGACATAGATAGATAAATAGAAAGTTAGATGTATATATATATATACATAGATAAATAGAAGGATAAGTAGATAGATATAGATCGATAGGTAGATAGATAGATCGCCAGATTGTAACTAACCTGAACATAGGCTTTTCTAAAGCAATGTGGAAATCCCCAGACCCAACTATCTGACGATCCCTAAACAGCAAAATTTACATTCAAATTTTCCTTCTAAACATTACAATGTTTTTTTTGGAAATCCGCATAGGAATACAGAAAAATCTGCAAAATTGTACAATGACTTAAGAAAAATTTGCTTGCACAGATACAATAACTTTTAAATGGTAAACAGTTGCAATTATGAAGCAGGTTTTTAAATTAAACTGAATAATACTATCAAATCTCAGTTTATCTTTAGACTTGATTCTTATTTTAGTTTGAATTGCGCTGCTTAGTCATCAGACTAATTCTTCCTGGTTTATTTTAATTGTTAGCTAAGAGCTGAAATCTAAAATGAGATATCCTTAATCCCGATTACTTAATCTGAGTATCCAATGGGCACACTTTTGATTTTCTTCTTAAACCGTTCTTTCTTGGATATAGTAGAGAAAAATCAAAAACTGTTTTTTTTTTAAAAGAGAGTCCCTCCCGTTTCTGTATATCAATTTTAAATGGCGCGTAAAATTTTAAAGAACCTGTCAAATCATTCGTTGGGATGTTTAGAAAGATGAAAATTTCCCTGTATGATAATTGAAGGACTGCAGTATGGTTTTGGTGAATTATATTGGCGTACAAAGCCTAGGGGTGTCAGAAATGATTTTTTTTGCATATTTTTAAAACTTCTATAAAACTTTTTAAGTTTAATTTTTGATAAATTCATCATCATCATCATCATCATCATCATCATCATCATCGTCATCATCTTCAATATCATCATCATTGTATGTTACAAATAAAAAAATACAGATATTTTTTCGTACTTTTTCAACATGTTTTACATCTTGCGTGCTATCTTTAGTAATTCTACTTTAAGTTATCAAAACTTTTGTACATTAGCTAGCTTTAGAATGGCGGAGTCACGAAAATGAATTGTATAATGTTATTATGTTTTTTTTTCTCTCTGTAGACTAATAGAATAATCCAAATTAGGACTTTAGATAAAATTCAAGTATAATATACTGGGATTTCATTAGTGCACTGGAATTTGTGAGAGGTAAAGGGAATTTTAAGAATTCTTGGTGGATAAGGGGAAATTAGGAAGCCTGCAGCTAAAATGGGGGGAAAGAAAAGTGGAGTAAAAAGTGAGGAGAAAATTTAAAGAATTTTTAAGTTAGACAAAATAATCTAAAAAAAATTTAAATTGAAGGAAAGAAATAATTAAATATCCAATATTTTCCATTTATCAATTTGTTATATTTGTTATATTTGTTATATTGTGTTGTATTTTGATAGTTTTAATATTATCATTTTTATTATTATAGTTATTATTATGATTATCAAAATTATTATTATTATTTTTTAAATTATTAATTTTATTTTCCATTCATTTTATCATAATTATTACTATTATTTTTTCTATTTTCTTTTATTTTGTTACACCATTTTATTATTTCTAAATAAAATGATTTTCAGGAAACTTTTAGAAAATCAGTTTAGGTCGTCATTTAATTGTCTGAATTTTTGGGCAACTCTTGTCAGAATTATTAAACCTTTCTTTGAATTTAGCTTTAGAGAAGAACGAAAAATATTTTATTATTTCTATTATGCAACCATTTTATTCACATACTATTTAACTAAAAAATAGCCAGGTGTAAAAACTATAGAGGTCAAAAAGTCATACCAGCAATTTTGCCTGAAATTGACTTTTACCAAACTAGGCTTTTAGGGCGCTTCGCGCCCATCTTCTATTTCAACTTTTAATTGTGGCTTTATCTGTGAGCATCTTCTCTTTGTACGGTATAAAACAAAAACAAATAAAAGTTTGCGGATTTTATAATATTTTTTCAAAATTTTACACAAAATAAAAAACTTTTAAGCACAAAATTTTGATCATTCATAAAATTTCCCTGGGTCAAAATTTGGGCCCGATCAGTTCAGCCGTTTTGACGTTTATTGGATACAAACAAACAGACACCCATACACCCAGAAAACCTAAATTTATATATCGATGTCTACACAGATTGAAGTGAATTGGGATCTTAGTTAAAAGCTGATACCACACACCGTAATATTAAAGGTCGACCTTGATTTTACCGCTCTAACTAACGTATGGTTTTCTGTATATAATTTATGTACATTTTAGCTCTATAAACCACTTGTTGTTAGCTTTGGTTTTTTAGAATTTCTTGGTAAAATTCTCATTAAATTTAGCTTCACCCTGTAGGATTGAGTAAAATAGCTATTCACCCTGGAGGATTGAGTAGAATAACTATTCACCCTGTAGGATTGAGTAGAATAGCTATTCACCCTGTAGGATTGAGTAGAATAGCTATTCACCCTGTAGGATTGAGTAGAATAGCTATTCACCCTGTAGGATTGAGTAGAATAGCTATTCACCCTGTAGGATTGAGTAGAATAGCTATTCACCCTGTAGGATTGAGTAGAATAGCTATTCACCCTGTAGGATTGAGTAGAATAGCTATTCACCCTGTAGGATTGAGTAGAATAGCTATTCACCCTGTAGGATTGAGTAGAATAGCTATTCACCCTGTAGGATTGAGTAGAATAGCTATTCACCCTGTAGGATTCACCCTGTTTGATTGAGTAGAATAGCTATTCACCCTGTGGGATTGAGTAGAATAGCTATTCACCCTGTAGGATTGAGTAGAATAGCTATTTACCCTGTAGGATTGAGTAGAAAAGCTATTCACCCTGTGGGATTGAGTAGAATAGCTATTTACCCTGTAGGATTGAGTAGAATAGCTATTCACCCTATAGGATTGAATTTATTTGAATATGTTAATTAATTCTATTCTAGTTAAATCCTCAGGAAGAAATTAGATAATATTATTCTCAGTCCGGAACCGACGTTTGTTGGTTAATCCGTTTCCAGAGCACTAATCTCGTTCTCCCTACCCACCTAGGGATTAAATCTAAATCGTTTTTAAAATTCTACTTTAATCCGTTTATTTCGCAAATGATTACAAATGTTTGCACGAACTTTGCATTTTTCAAAAAGAATCTTGAAGAGTGTAAAATATAAAGATTTAAAATTAAAATTCCATTGTTTTTTAGAAACATTTTTTTATTTGTTCTCCAATGCGTGGCTGACTGTTTTTAAAGTTTAAAGACTCATTGATGAAGCCAACCTTGTAAATCTTTTCATTTTTTGCATTTTAGATCATAACTCAGGAACCCTCTTCACCAATTTGCCTCAAATGTTAACTAATGAACTGGGAAAAACCACGGGAATGTTCTTAACTTGGTTTAAGAATTATAAGTTGAAATTTCAGTTTCCAGGGAAAGCTGCAGGTTGCAAAGCTATAGTTGCATTATAAATTTTATCTAATCTTCTTTCATCAAAAAAGTTGAAATTGTCATTTTATGTTTTTGCCGAAAATATGATTCACATATTCTAATTTAAATTTTTATTTTTTATTTTTGTTTCTTTTTGAATGTTTATATTTGATTAACGGGTGTAGATTAGATTCTCAAAGGTAAACAAAAGAATATTCTTTTATCAAAGTTTTAATTTAACTTTGTAAATGAAACACAGCTCAACAAAGAAATTCAATTCAACAATTTAAAAACATGCTAAATTATTTTTTGTTAAAATGAAAAGGCCTGTAGACCCTCCAAAGAGAGTAGGTATGTGAGATTCACAACTGTACCCCTCAAATCAATATCTAAGTAACAATCAGAAAGATAACGTACTTTTTCTATCTTCAATAAATGTTCTACATGTTTTTTTGTGTTTTGTTTGAAGCATAAATGCGCAAGTCAATTTTATAGATCAAAATCAAAGTTACTGAATTTTTACTAAGGGATAACAAAAGTTTAACATGTATCGTTGTGAATCGAAAAGGGCACTTTGAAATGGATGGTCACTTGAAAAAAACTTACGGGTTTATTCCTTAAACCAAAAAATATGTAATTAAAGCAAAGAAACTTGTACGTTAAAATACAGTTAGCAGACCTTCTTAGTTTCAAGAAATAGAATATTTTATTCTCCCCTTGTTTAAACCCCCCACCCGACCTCCTTGGAACAAAACTGATATTGGAAAAGGAGGCAGGCTAACCAGTAAGTAAATTCGATAAAAGTGTCTTCATATTAAAGATTTTGAAAAACGATCGTTTCGTTATGAAAGCGACGACATAAAAACGAAAACGGAACGATCATTATCAAAAAATTACGTTATTTCTTTCAAAACGATAGTTTTTTAAAATATAATCGTATAAAAACGGTTGCTAATCGTTTTTATAGAAACAACCGTTTTCAAAAACGATCGTTATTCGTTTTCTAAAAGTTTAAAACGAGTGGGTCGTTTTAAAAACTATTGTTTTTTTTCGTTTCGTTTTTGTTTTTGAAAACGCCGAAAAACAAAACGATTTACAACACTATTTGGGCTTCTGCCTCTGGGTTATTGCAAAACTAAACACACAGGAATCTAGTGTCCTATCTGTTATTTTAATTAATCTATGCTTTATATAAATTAGTAAATCTCTGTTTGTTTGTATATCAGATCATTACCTATTATTACTATTTGATTTGGAACTCAGTAGAATGAAAATGACACAAGTTTAGATTTAATGGCAAAGCTGGGTTCCCAAGCAATTTTACAATAAGAGACAGGAAAAAGATGAAACTCGTGCACAATTTTCCCTTAAAGGGACTGTAAAGGAAAAATGACACAGTTTTATATCAATTTCTCGAGACAAGAACATCAGATAAAACTCTTATAGGTCTCAATCAACTTCTGAGATTCTCTGGTTTCATCCTATACCCCTTTTCTTTTTTCCTTTACAGTCTCTTTAATTGGATTAAATGAATTACAAGAAAACTTAATTAAAATTCTATACTTTCATTCAAAAAAGTTTTTTATATCATTGCGTTTATATGAGAATTTTACAAGCAAGAGAATGCTGAAATATTTTTCGTGAAAAAATTGTGAAATATAAAAAATAAAACCCGTTGAGAAATTTAATTTCCAAATTATCTTTTTCCAAACTTTTCTTTTTCGACGAAACTTTCTTTTCGT